GTTCTTTAATCGTAATCAGAAATTACGCTCATATGCACGATCAACATAATTTGTCTCGACGTCGTAGGATTGATTATTACTTGCAACAAGGCGAAAGTTTCGACATTTTTCCAGACTTGGAGTTTGTCATACACCCGTTGGTCGACATTGTCTATATCTTCCCCTGGATGACGTCTTCAAGCAATGTCGGATCGAACGAGGTATAATTTTATATGTATTATTGATTACGTTAACATGTGAGTATCATATTTTGTATGTGATTAGTGAGTCTTATGGCCCTCCATGTTGGTTGTCCCACTGTACTATCCATAGATGAGTGATTCTGTGGCCTGGTCCGCTGAGATGACCCACAAATTTCTGGTCCTGTTATCTGAGCAGGCCAAAACTTCGCACGGTACTGCAATAAAAACAGCTAATTACTAGGAAATGTTGGACGCATATCATCACTGGCTGGCAAGAGACTCACGTGACATAATTAACCTCCAAGTTCTTTCGCCTGGAAGTGTATCAAGCATGCGGAAATTGCTGCAGCACACACAGGTTCGGGTGGGATCATGAGTCACAAAGTCCAACGTGTCCCGTTAAGGTTTGGCAGAATATGTCAGGTAATTTTCAATTTTTTAACTATTATTATTCACGACACCTAAATGTACCATTTTTTTTAACTGCTAAATATTAATATATTATTCTTTTAACTTACCAGCAAAACCCACTGGTGCAACAAATTTTCCACCCCACAGAGTAAGATTTATGATGAAAATTATTTGATGTTTTTTTATTGAAAAGGGAAAGGTGGTCGGCTAATTTGGGAGCTGTAAATGTAGATTGAAGCTGAAAATAAATAAATAAAATAAAATAAGATAACTAGAAAAATAGCAAGTATAATGATGGGGGTAGTCACGTCAGGGTGGAACCAGGGACATGTAGGTCAAAGTGAGAAAGACGACAAATAATAATAAGGGAGACTCAAAGCATGATAAATGAAGTTTGAAGGGTTTAAATTATATTTATTTTCAAAAGATTTGTGTTGATTAGGGTTATCTTTGCATCTCATATTCAACGGAGTAGATATTATTTATTTTGAAGTCAAGTCCGCACAAATTTATTTTTACTCAAAATGTGTTTATTTAATTAGAGTAAATGAATTCCTATAAATTGAATGCGAGACTCCGTTTCACTAATAGTGTGAGATGTGATACCATGATTCCGAAGATTATAATATAGCTTCATTTTTGTTTGTATGATTTTCATGGTGATAGCGATAGGAAAAAAATTTAGTTAATGGTTTCAACTTTCTAATTTCTTTTTCTAGTTGATTCATGAACAAGAGAGACGGGCCGTCGGGATGTCAATGGGGCAAGTTGGGTTGGGCCAAATCTGCCCATTATCTTTTCTGAAAAATGGGACGGTTTGGATTATATATATATAATCTAACACAAATATACAAACTATTTCACAGAATTAATTAATCAAAATGATAAATAATCACTTTCATTTTCTAATATAAAATTTATATTCAAAGTTTAATAATTCAATCACAATAATTATCCAAATAAATCATAAACAAAAGAAATAAAATAATATTGAATTTAACTACAATTTTATAATAAATCTAATTCCAAATAACGTAAAATCATACTTCACAAAATAATTCATAACCTAAACAACTTAATTTGACATTACATATAAAGTAAAAAATAACATAAAGTTAATGTTCTTACATTTATAAAGTTGATAAAATATATAATGTTAGTAATTATAGATTAAACAATTTAATTACATACCTTATTTTCATATTCACTAGTGAAGAACATGGCAAGATATCATGTTGATAAAATATATAATGTTATATTATTTTGTTTGGAAAAAAAAAAAGAAGTAAATAATATAACATTTTTTTTTCTAAATAAACTTATAATCCTAATGTTACATATTATATATAATTATTTATTCATAGTTATATATTTCTATGGCAAATGGGACAAGTCAAGGTCAAAGTTAATATTCTCATGCCTGTCCCAAAATAATTTGAATCAAGATATTCAAACTCAAATCCGACCTACCCTAAAAAAATTTCTTTCCAAATTCAACCCATTAGGGTAGGACTCCTTGGAACCTCAAACCAATGGATCATCTTGACATCCCTAGACGAGGGATAAACTAATCTCTAATTTTGTTAAGAGAAAATCTTGTTGATTATTATTTCATTTACAAAATTATTTCACAATCTTTGAATTGTTAGATGATATAATAATATGACGTATTATTTAATTTACAAAATTATATATCGTTGATTTTTATTTGGTATATCCTAATTTTGAAAATGATTAATTGTACGATTCGGTGAGATTTTTACTTGTGAACTCAAGAACTCAAAGCAAGATTGAAGAATTTCTAAATTATAAAAAATAAAAGAATAAAAAAGCTTAATATAATCTAAATTCTGTAATTATATTTATTAGCTAAGGGATACATAATTGTGGCCTACACTTAATATTTATTATTGGGAATAATAAAGACAAGAAGACAAATCAATCTCCTTAAAGTCATAGAAGTTGGCCCCAAGGAACATCTTTATTACTTGTAAAATAAATAAATAAACCCAAAGCAAAATATTGATTTTCATGCATTCACTTTAACATGCCGAAATTTTTTTTTCTTTTTTTATTTCAATGCATATTTTTTTTTTAAGGCAAAACGATAATAAGGGATTTTAAAATTTCAGACGTGTTAAGTATATTAGAGATATTTGCGCAACAAGAAAGGATTGATCCGCATCATCTTGACTTGGTTTTGATTTCTCTATTTTTTTTAAGAATACTACTTCTCCTACCAGTATGCAATAGAACTTCTTCATGTAAGATTTGTATGATTTAGATCGGGAGAATGGTACGGTTTACAAGAATATGTGTTAATTTCGGTTTTTATTTAGAATATTAATTCTACTTGAAATTAATATATGTGTTTGTGTTGTAGAATAGCACGTGAATCCTTCCATGCAAAAATCATATAAAATTTTATTAATCTTTTCCATTCTAACTATTGTAAATAATAGGCAAAAAGGCCCATAGAAATAAATAATTATATTCTTACAAAAGCTCTTTAATTAAATTAAAAATAATAATAATAAACACCTTCCCTCATAATTTATTTAACTTTCCTTTTGATCCATCAATTCAAAGAAGAAATTTTTGTTTTCTGGGAAAGCAATAATCATTGTTTTATTTTTGATATTCAATCAAACAAATAAAAGCAATTTAAAAAGCATTTAAAATTTAAAACCATATCTTATAATAAAGCAGTAGGAAATAATAATTGTTTATATATATACTTCCATTTTCTTGTTGGTGCCACTACAATCAATGAACAACATTATGAAGGGAATGCTTTATTGTCTTCAATCACTTTTCTTTTCTTGTTTTTGTTTTTCTTTTGTCCTTCCACTAAAATTGACTTTTCTTTATCACTATTCACATTGAACAATTATCTTTGGCATCTAATGATTTAATTTAATAATTAAATTATAATATTCTATATAATACCCAATGCCTTAATATACGAGGAAAGTTGCTGCGCAGAGCGTCAGAGCCGATTAACTAAGTTTATTACCAAGTTAAAGAACTCGTTCCAGCCCCATCAGTTGAAACTCTTAATCCAGTCGATGACGATCTCGAAGCGGGGTCCCTAGTTTTGGTCCATCTTTATTCCATTTCATATATGTCTAGATATTCTATAATTTAATTATCCAAGTATGGGACTGATTTTTAGCCCCATTATTTTCCTCTGTAGCCCCATCTTCAATTTTAAATGAAAATATAATTGTAATAAATAAAAATTATTCTTCTTCATCCATACTTTTTCTTTAAATGTCCGTTGTGTCCTTCTTCTGATAAGAAAAATTAATCTTTTGTTGAATTTCTATATTTAGTCTCCATGGAATGATAGTAACCCTTGATTTAATTTACTTTTAATTTTTGAGAACTGTAAATATAAAACTTTGAAGGAAAAAGATTAAAATCTTTTATTACAATTATAAACTCGCCTTAAAATTTAAGATGAAGGTAAAAAGGAAAACAATGGAGGCTAAAAGTCGCTTCTCACGTAAGTATTTTAATGAAGGGCACCCATTTAATGTAGGGTTGTAAAGAAACCTTGCACGGGCGTAATTTATGCCTGGCCTTTTGATAGGCCCAGTCCAAACTTAGGTATTTTATATCAGATTTTAAAAATTTCCAGGTAACCCCTTAAAAACTACAGAGGACCCCTTTAATTAAAGACATATTACCCCGAACCCCATGTATCAGGTAAATTTACCAAACAGACCCTTATTTGTTCAACTTATCTTCTCCCTTGAGTAACCATTAATGGAGTTTTATGTATTACCACCAGTGGTTTATTCTCTTTTTAGTTTTTATTGCCTTCTAATTTGTAAATAATGTACTATTAGTGATGCCACATAACCCCACCACTATTATCTAAGTATAATTCCATTGAATATTTAACTATAAAGCGGCAACAACTTGAAAAGAGACCCATTTGGACATAATTGTCTAGCATCCATTATATTATTAATTGGATCCTTAAGAACATGAAAACTCTACACTATTTACTATCTCTTAATCTCCGAGAATGTACAGGAGAGGGGAAAAAAAATACCAAAAAGAAATTTTTAGGTAAAGGAAAAAGTGCAAGTTAATCAATCGACGGGGTCGAATAGCATCACTTTTTTTTTTTTTTCCTTCTATGCTCTCATGGACGCTAGACGACGAAGGCTGAGAATGACATCTCAGCTCTCCCCCGTAAGTCGAGTTTCATACTGACTCGGTCTCAATCTGATTTAATCTTCTAACTTCGCAAGATCGACTCAACCTAATTTAGAACCCTACCATTTATACAAGACACGAGTGAAACCATAGATAAAAAGAAGAAAGAGAATTTGCTTTCACTCACTAATTTGCATTGGAAAGAAAATTCCGACTTTACATCAACTAACTAGAAGATTTCTTTTTTTTCTTTTTTCTTTTTTTTTTGGAGTAAAAAGGCATGGATTCAGAAATTTGCCTTATCCTCAGCAAATTTTGTTAAATACCTCAAAATTGAAGGCTTCGGATCGTCTTCGACTCCTTTTTCCTTTGTTTCAAAAATACCTTTCACTATACGTGTGTAAAGCCTTTCAAGCTGTGGAATGCCGAAATTTTCAGTACGCTCCACAAGAAGCCGCTTGACAGAATCTACTTGGGATATGATCTCACTATCCGACATCACAACGTCTTGGGATCCACTCACATCTGTAATACCAGAGACTTCTGCAGAAGTATCATTTCGATTGCAATCAGCAGATAAGATTTCTGGCCTTTCAGGATCTGCATCATTTGCCTCAACTTCCTGAGGTGACTTTGTTTGTAATGAATCTTGCTGCCTTGATCTGTCTTCTGCCATTGGAGCTGGTTTTCAACAGAATACAAAGACGAGAGACATCAAGAATTCATTCTACATATATCAGTGTGCACAGAAGTGTCATGCGCGGACATTTATCAAAGCATACATATATTTACAAGAGTCGCAATACCTGCATGGGCAGCATCAGCATTCTTTTTTGGCCTTTTAAGAGCCTCATAGCTTTGATCCAAATTAACCTCAGGCTGGACATTACGAAGCCGTGCACTTGCTCTAGTAACAGTTCCCAGCTGCACAACAGGAGTAGTCGGAAAAATAGATCCTCCCAAATCATCTGGCAGATTTGTTGGACCTCCTTGAGCAGCAATCTTGTCACAGTAGGTGACTAGTGCAGGATCCATCTGTGATAGCATTCCATGTACCTGAGCGAGAAAATGAAAAATACGGGAAATTTATTGAAGCACCCAAAACCAAGAGAGAACTTTCAAAACCAAAGGACTAAGGAACATACTGCATCGCGTAGCTCATAAGCTCTACTAACAATCCGAGCACCATTGTAATCATTTCCATTATAAACCTGGATTAAAGACAGAAATTATATTAGTTTTGCATGAAGCTGATTAAAACGAAAAAATACAAGCATAATGCAACTATTTCTCAGTTAAAGTTTTCAATCAAATCCTGAAGCAACTTCCAAAAGCCTTCTAATCATGCACAGATAAACCTTTGACACTTTTCCTCTTAACTTTTACAAAAAGTTTGATCATTTCTTTGAATTTTACTTGTCTACAAAACTTTCCTGTAAGCCATTGAAGATAACAACCTTACTAACTATGATTAAAAAAATTAATTTAGAAACAGAATATTTTTAACAAAGTGGTCATCCTCTGATATTAAAAATCATATGCACTGCTCTATTGAGCTACAACATTTATGCTCACATTTTTCCTGGTCAGTAATAACCCAAAGTTTGATTGAAAAAAGCTGGCTCAATGAAAAAAAAAATCTAATTAGTTGCATGATGGTCACAAACACACCTTTGCATTAGACACAATAAGATCCACATCTTGCAGGAATAATGAACAAGTAATATACTGCCCAGTATCAACATGCTGAAGCAGAGTGGCCATATCCATAGGGTTTTGGATTATTGAACGATAGTTTGGAGCATCCTCGTCTGTGACCGGATAATGGAAGGCACTAAATCGTTTATCATATAAAATCCTGCAAGATGATTGCAAGCCATAAATATAGAGGATACAAGACGTCTAATAAATTATGAAATTACCAAGGCAAATGTCCTTTGTGTAAACAATCTAAGAAGTCATCTATAGCCTTCATTAAACTTGTTCTGAGTTCACATCATCTTAAAGCAAAACTTAACCTCAATTCAAATTAACTTGATAAGAACATGAGGAAAGGATTGTTAGCCACCCAAACAAATAAATATCAACCTTAAAACTTCTACAAGTTCTCATAACATGTCGTGTGCATCCATCTAACCTAGCCTGAGCTAAGACCATCAACTCAATACATAACCTGCTGAAACATAACCACTTTGCTAGATTATGCCTGTCAATAAAAATTATATTACGATTTGCAGAAAGAGTTGTCCAATCCATCCATCCACTATGTAAAGACTCAATCAAAGTGCAGTTCCCCCCATTTCGAGGAGAGGGCCAGCCAGTACACTGAAAGACAGACTGGAGTAACAACCGCAAGCCAGAGAGTGGAGGAGAGCTAACAAACTAGAATGAATGCACAGATGCAATGCAGGGCCCAACAAGTTAAACAAGTTCCTTTTTTTTTCCCTTTAAGGCAGAAGGGAAGGCAAGAGTAATCAAAGGAAAATAGTACTGCCCATTACGCATGTGTCCAAATTTTCCACCCATGTAAGTTGTCTTGACATGTCAACGCATTGACGTAAGACCAAGAAACACAAGCACACAAGTATATGCATAAGTTTCCTTGCATTTATGATAGCCGACTAAGGGCTTAGCAAGCTTTAGCTCTGGGCTGAATTAAGATTGCTTGGCAAACCAAGCATCAGCACTACAGAGCTTGAATTCTTAGAAAGACTTGACAAGCTGATGCAAGCATTAAGATAACTATATTGGAAGTTCAAACACATAAAAAATAGAAAATAATAATAATAATGAAGTAAAAACAAAGGGCTAAGGCTAAGGATCAATTTACCGGTTACAAATATCTCTAAGGCACATCCTTAATCGGCGAAGGGCATGCTGCTCAGCCTCTACTTTAGCTTTTAACTCCGATGCCTTTGGACCACTTTCTACTTTTGGTACCTTGGGAAGTTCAGGAGGGGACACTGATTCCCGAGGCTTTTTGGTCTTGCCCTCCAACAAGACTGATAAAGCAGCTTCAATTAAATGGTCAAAGAACAAAGATCGGTCTTCAGTTGATGGCTTTTCAACTTGATAGCTGAAAATGGTAAAAAATTATATGATTATAGCAATAAGCTTAGGTAGTCATCTAAGTAAAACCAAAGTGATCAAAGCAAAATGAATTGTTAAACAAAAGTGACCAAACAAAGCATAAAGATTAATATTAAGAGTTTATAGACTCTTCTTTTCATGACCATCAATTTCTATTCCTGGGAATTAAGAGCTTTTCCACTGATAAAGTGGTCAAAACCATACAAAAAGATTGGTTTGAGATATTGCGTATGTAACATTCACCCAGTATTTTATCCAGAGGTGGAATGACAAAAAATTAACCATGAAGTTATTAAGTGGTCAAACAATTATAAAGATGTACTATTTTTTTATTGGAAACAGAAAATATTATATTAAGAGATAAAAAAAAATTACAAACACACATATAAATATATAGACAAAAAGTGTTCTTTTTACCCAAGATGAAAGGCTTAAGTTTTCTACAACAGAGCCAACTGACCGAGACTTTAGAACTAATGCCAGCATTTAAAATAAATACTATAAACTGCATAGTGCTAGATTTGCAATAAATGGAAGCTTTTAGAGTAAGACATACACAGAGCGGTTAGGAAAGACTGAAGAAGGATCGTCTTCAATTTCAGAAAGTGGGACTGAGGATGTTCCAATTAATAATATAGGCAAATCTGATGGCAGTTCTTCTAAGAGTGTCAACAGAACAGCCCTGAGCTGTTCATGTGCCTGCAAATACCAAATGATGGTACTCAGATAATACAAACATAAGAGAAGAGACTATTAACTCTAGGAAAATATAATGTTAGAACAAAATTATAAACTTTAAGTATGCAGAATCACCTAATTAGGATCAGATATGATAATATAAAAAATAATAATTCTCACTCACATTCTCCCACCAAAGGTGGAACTGTGGGATGTAAAGTATTGATGGTGTATTTCTTCTTGCTTCACCAAATATATGTACCAATGCCTCCTCAGATGTCTTGGCACTAGGATCTGAAAGAAGTGCATGAAGACCAAGAGAATGAACAGGAAATTTCTCTAGCTCATGTAAAATTGCAGGCCCAAGATGATCCTGTTAAACTAAATCAGTAAGTATATTTAGTTTGAGAGTCCAAAACTGACTTATTAGTCAAAATAAAAGTTCAAAGATGATTACCACGCCAGCACCTTCACTACCACACAATAAAAGCCGAGGTCTATATACAAGAGGAATCGCTGACCCATGGGAAAGCATACAAAGTTTGGTCAGCTCTGATGACCCAGCAAGGGGAGGAAATATATCAGATATATAATTCATGGCTTTCTGGAGATGTCTTTGCATACATGGTGCAACAACTAGAGACAACGGCCTAGAGTGCACAATGGAGCCTCTGTGAGCAGCAGGAGTTATTGTCGACATGGCATCCATAAAGTGATACTTCTCAACCTTGACTGCATCAACATCAATCAAGAACTTATCATCACTAGTGTAAACTTGAGGGTATTTTTCACGAAAAGCACGAATGGCAGCTTCAGTGCACAGTGCTTTTAAATCAGCACCACAATATCCTACACAACTGGCTGCAAGTTCCAATTTTAGTTCCCTTGTAGGAGGTTGTTTCCATTTTCGAGTGTGAATGTCTAATATCTCAGCACGTGCTTCACAACCAGGCAAAGGAAAGTTGAATTCACGATCAAATCTACCAGGGCGGCGCAAAGCTCCATCAATGGCATCAACCCTGTTGGTTGCTCCAATCAAAACTACTTGTCCACGAGAATCAAGACCATCCATCAAGGCAAGTAATGTGGACACAATAGAATTGTGAATCTGCTCTTGTTTGCTAGACCTTACAGGAGCTAGTCCATCTATTTCATCAAAGAATATGATGGAAGGCTGGTTCCTTTGCGCCTCCTCAAAAAGTAATTTCAGTTGTCTTTCAGCCTCACCAACCCATTTGCTAAGCACATCAGCACCCTTACGCATGTAAAAGCTGACCTTCTGACCAGCCTTTGAAGCAGCACAAGCTAAAGCTCTGGCAATCAATGTTTTCCCGGTGCCAGGAGGACCACATAACAAGACACCCCTTGGTGGAGTGATGTGATAACTTGCAAAGAAATCTGGATACAGTAAGGGAAAAAAGACCATTTCTTTCAAAGCATCAATATATTCTGACAGTCCTCCAATGTCGTCAAAACTTACACTTTCATCAACCTGTAAAGGTTGAATATCTGCCCCACCCTTAGAGCTTGGCCCAGCAGTTTGAATCCCCGAAGTCAAGGTAGTTAAAGCATCACCCTGATGTCCCCAACCAGATGCTGCGATGTTTAATCCCCATGCCGTTGTCCCATGCATCTCTAGCCCTCCAAAGAGCCAAGGTGGTCCAGATCTGCTCCCACCTCGCCCCCAGGGAATAGCAGGACCTTGGTCGAGCTCATCAACTAGAAGAGAATCATCAGAATCTTCAGCTCTTGCTAGACGGTGACGCTTATGAACTCGTGATCCCCCTTTCCTTACATCTCTACCAACCTTGGTCCCTATTCCCTGATGCAATACTCTTCGAGGAGATCTTGGTCTTTGCTTGCCTTCTTCCATTGAGAGCCTACGGACTTCTGCACGGTTCCTGAGATCATATCGCCTCCTTCCTTCTTGTTCTTCTTCACCTTCTTCATCATCACCATCTTCTTCTTCCTCATCTTCCCCCTCCCCCTCTCCATCCCCCTCATCCTCACCATCTGCCTCACCCTCATTCTGACCATGATCTGGATCATTGTCATCAGATTCATTCCCATTCTCAGTTTCATCTTGGCCAACCTTCTCTTCCGAAGTATCTTGCTCATCCCCAGATTCTAAATTCAATTGTCTAGTGACTATTCTGGAACGACGAGGCCTCAATCCCTCACGCCGGGGAGTTGGTTTAGCCTCCACAATTTTCTTATGCTTGGGAGACGATAACTCATCTTGACTCACATTATTGGCTATCCGAATCCGATTTCTTAAAGGTCGATATTGGGTCCTCTGAAACAAAACCACTCAAAGCTTTCAATCCTAGATAAAAGTTTTAGAAAGAACCAAATCATTTTAATTGTACCAAAAAATATCTTTCTTATTTCAAACCATCAAAAGGAAGCTAACAACAGACCCAAAAAAATGAATCCTTATGAAGTATAAAGCCTACCATTAGGTCTTCATCTTCTGATCCAGAACTGTCAGTGTAATCTTCCAGATTCACAGAAATCCTCCTCTTTCTAGTAGAACGGCGGACATTGGGTGGGACTGGCTGCAAATAGAAGAGTGATTAAATCATACAAGAACTAAACTGCAGGCCATTCATCACAGAGAAAATGGCAAAACAATAATAATAATAATAACTATAACTATAACTATTAAGCTTCAATAGAAATGGAATGTATTCGAGAAGTTTGCAAAGATGCAAAATAGTTGATCCATACCACATTATGCACATAAAGAAATAGATGAAGAATGACAAGAAACAAAAATGTAGATGATATCAACAATCAGCAATAGAAAACACAGAGCACTGAAAGATAAAACCTATAAGAAAATAAAAGAAGAAAAAGAGAAAAACACCTTCACTTAGTAAGGGGAGCTATTGTCAAAAAGTGTAGACATAAGAGTGGAAGAACATTGAGAAAACAGAATTTTGATTCATGCAGGACTCTGTTTTGCCACAAATAACCGTTGGCTAAACACACATTATCATAAGCATGAATAATCCGACACATTATCATAAGCATCAATAATCCGACACATTATCATAAGCATCCAAAATAATTGATCCCCACCGCATTAAGAACATAAAGAAATAAATGAAGAATGACAGGAAACAAAATGTAAATGATAATTCTAGATGATATCAACAAACAGCAACGGTAAACAAAGAGCACTGAAAAATAAAACCTAAAAGAAAAAAAAGAAAAACACCTTCTAAAGGATGATATTGTCACGAGGTGTAGACAAAAGAGAATGTTCTTCCCATTAGGAAAACAGAAATTTGTTTCATGCAGCAGTCTTCTTTGCCATAAATAATCGTTTGACAAAACACTTAGGTATCGGAAGCATGCATAATCCCAGTCAATCATACTCATACTAGCCAACAAATCAAAAAAATCCCCAAAAGCAAAAATGTCTAACCGCAACCCACTTAAGAGAAGAGTGAAAGGTAACATCCATTTATTGCAGTCAAATACAGAGGTACTAGCTACCATGCAGAGTAGGGAATGTCAAAGGTTTTCGAGGTAACTTAAAATAAATAACGAATAGCCGTAAATCAATCTTTTACTCCATTAAAAATCAATTCATCTAGTTTTAGTTTTACACAGAACACAATCATACGTAATACATAAACCCGCAGCTGTGTCATAAAGGGAAGATTAACAGTCTCCTAGTTATCATAAATGTTGTCAATCAAATCATTGCCTCAAATTCTCCAAATCTCAGACACATTATATAAAGCAATCAATCTCGTTTTACTCAACATTTTGAACTACACCAATCACAAAGTACTTCGACACGAAACCTCAAACATTACTCAAAAATCCAAACTCAAAACTCTCAATCAACTCACCTTCGCATTCGAGCTTCGCACGGGGCGCTTCCCAGTGCCGAACATTCTCGCAATCTGAGACGCCGCCGTTCTGGCCTTAGTCTTGCTTTTCCGGCCGCGAAAGTTCTTTGGATTATAATACAGGTAAGTCCGCCCCAAAATCTTCGGCCTCCTTCTAAGTCTATCACTGGTGCGTAACGGTCCGGAAACAGACCCATCGCCTTGGCCAGATCGTTTTGGATACATAGGCAAACCTTAGATTCAATCATAAACCTCAAAACCTTCCATAAAAAAACTCAAAAAATAAGCTTTAAAAGTCGAATAAAATCAAATTTTCTGCTCAAAATCGATTGATAGAAGCAATGAAGAGAAGTTTCCGTTAAATGTAGAGGTCTCGGATCAGTCACGGAGGTTTAGTTAAGGTTAACTGCGTTGCGTGTTGTGAGTTTAGGGTTTGGGAACCGAGAGGAGAAGAAGAGAGAAGAAGACGATTTGTAATAGAATAGGTTTAGACTGAGTTGAGGGAAAATATTAATTAGCTCCCTTGTTTTTTGTTTTAATTACAATCAGGGGCGTGTGATTTGAAAGAATTAACTATACCCACACTTTGTCCGTTCGTTCGTTGAGGGAGGTGTAATTTCAAAGTACCCCTTATAGTTATAAATTTATCAAGATATCCCCTATAAGAATCGCTGACCAAGACTTTGCTTAATTATGATGACTTCTAATTGTTGGGGCAGATGGGTGATTGGATAAATTTGAGGTAGTTTGAGAAATTTCAGGGAAGGCGATTAATAAACCATTATATTATTTACACTTTCATCTTCAAGGTTGAAGTATATTGCACTTACCTCTCTGGTACTATGAAATATAAATAGTTTAATCGATTAAAAAGATTATAATATAATACTCATATTGTCTTATTCACGTGTTATTAAAAATATCACAATTGTAAATACAAAAGTTTATCAAAGCAAAAACCAAAATGAACAACATAAAAAATATAAAATATCTTACTTTTTAAACATATATATTTTACAATTTCTAATAATATGTAAATAAGATAACAAATGTATTATAGTCTTTTATTTAAAAGTTTTACTTTACTGGATTAAATTTTTATATCTCATAATATTGAAGGTAAATAAAATATACTTTATAACCACCGTTAGGTGACTTGATGGTAACAGTGTAAAGAATGACCTAACATGGTTTCTCAAGTTCGAGTCCTCACGATTGCTAATTAAAGGAGAATCTAACACGGTCTCCCTAGTTTAAATCCCCACGATTGCTAATTTGAGTGGCCAATAGTGTTCTTACTCGACCAATAATTTTAGGGTTATAAGGGATTAGTTGACTTGAGGTGCACACAAGCTACCTCGGACACCCTCAATCATATTAAAAAAAAAAAAAAAAAAAAAAGCTTAAGGATGAAAGTACAAATAACCAATGAAGTTCTTTCCCTACCAATAATTCTATACTCTCGAAAGATTAGTTGAAATTTGGGTGTATATATTACAAACAACTGATTATTAGGGTACGGTAGTTGTGTCGGTAAAATATTAGAATTTAGTAACTGATTAATTAATTAATTTAGCTTTGACTGTTCTTTAACGGGGAAATTTTATACCACCCTTCAGTTTTGAAACACTATAGTAGATGTTAAGTTTGAATATATAAATAAAAAACAACCCTATAGGATTTTAAATTGGTCAAAAAAACACATTTTAAGATTGATGTTATCAGAATTTTATGGAAAGAAATTGTATAAAAAGACTTTGTTGTCTCCAATTTCATACAAGTATGAATTGTACTTGATAACGAAGATGTTTAGAGACTAAAGTTACCAAAATACCCTTCACTATTGGTTTATGTATGTTGCTAGAACATAGAGAATCTTCCAAGTCTATCAATTTCAATTTCTAAAGATCCTCATGTTAAGTCTAATTCATCATAAGAATAAAAGAGTGGTTTCATCATATAATCTTACTAGGAAAATTAAGACGATGTCAACCAGAATACACATTGCTACAACACAAAGGGTCTTACAAGTTAAATTAATTTCAATCTCTAAACATACAAAAAAAGCAACAATAACAAAGTCACATTCATACAATTCTGTTAGCGAAGATAAAATGACATGAATGTTTTAAAACCCACCCTAGAGTGAAACCCGACAAAGTGGCTAAGGCCCGAGTTCACCGGTTTAACTGTTTGATTGGCAGGTCAAGCTAGTGTCCAAATATTTGAAACCTAACAAAAATACATCTAAAAATTCTGTAAGTCCCTATAGATTTGAAATTTTGCAAAAATACCCCAAACACCACTGTCAGCGTCAGCAAATAAGGTTTGTTTCCGGTGACAACAACACTCCCTATCACCATGAAAACACTCCCCTTCAACCTTCTGACCAAAACCCATCTTACCCCTCTCTCGTTTGCCTTCCCAATCGCTGACGATAGTGGGAGTTTTTTGACAACATTGTTTTGCGATATCCGATCAATTTACTCATTGAAAATCGACTTCATTGTCGCCATTGCACTCACTGGTAGTTTCTCTTAAAAAACCCTAACATTTCGTCTTTAATTGTTCACATAAATAATCCTAATTTCTAGGGTTTAAATGAATAGGAAAATTTGCAACCCGACCCGATGAAGGCTAAGAGTTCTGATTGAACAGGTTCAAACAACCGGGTCGGGTTTTAAAACAATGATTATCATCTCCAACCTGAAGGGTGGTGCTCTTTGACTAAGGGTGACTTTTTTTTAACACCCAGAACATAACATCCACCTGTAATTATTTAAAACTCGAGAGTTCTTTTTGTAATAAGCCCATTCTTTAACATTCTTCACGGGAAGTAAGCCGCTCTTCTCGGAAGGCTTAGGTGTCATTAATACTTTGCACTCAACCTCCTTTAGAACTTACCCTCAAATTCAATGAGTGGAGTGACTGAAGAACGTTGCAGAAATCTGAAATCTGGTGACATTTTAAGCACAAGATTACTAACTCTTTAAATTCAATTACTAACCATAATGTATTTCCGTTGGTATAATTTTATGTAGAATATCAAGACCTCATAAATTGACTTTATACATGTATATATGTAACTAATGTGACCAAAGGAGGGAGGGGGGTTTCCCTTCTCGGCAAGTCAAGGCATGATCGAGAACAATATCTTGCAGCTCTTTCTCGACATCCTCTATGGCTTGACAGGCGTTTATTATCTGCAATAACAAAATGCAGTTCACCGGTTTGAGCAATGTCCATGGTGTCTCTGCAGGATATACACAAAATAGAAACATACTCTGATTCTGAGGAAGATGAATCACAGAGGATCTGATAGCATTGGGCTACTTTCTTTTGAAACTCGAGGTGATCATATCTCTCACCTCCATAGCCTCCTCTTTCAGCAGCTTTCTGACAATTCTATAGCGATGTTCAGTTCTAGGGATTCTCAGGAAGAATTAAATACAAAAAAAAAAATAAAAGTCACCAACAGTGAAGCACTGAAATATTGTTGGGAAACCTGGGTATCACACAGAAAATTTTACTGCCTCATAACAATTCCAGAAAGAGAAAAAGAGCTTTGGCCAAAAATATGAGAAATGTATAAATCAGAGCAAGGAGCCTAGCCAAATGTAGATGGGATGTAAAATACAGGGCAAAAGTCTTGATATTGCCTCTGATAATCCTAAAAATAGAACAGTTGATATAAACAACTAACCTCTGGTGGTATGTCAAGGTAGAGTACCAAATCTGGAGCTAGCAACCCAAATTCTGGGGCCTTCAAAAGAAGATCCCATTAAATAACAAAAACTTGATTTGTAAAAGCATGTCATCACCTTACACCATTCGACATCAACTCTTTTGGCAGATGAGAAAGCCACCCCAGAATAAGAACAACGGTCAAGAATTAGAGTAGTGCCAACTTTCAGTTTACTTTCCACCATTGCCCTGAAAAAGTAATGTTCATAACTTTTAGTTAGTTATGTTTAGGATTTCACAGACCTAAGAGAGCCAAATTTATTTTCACACCTAAGGAGGAGCTACTATAAATATAAAGTGTTTGCCACATAAGAACAACAGTATGAAGTAAATGTAACAGTAGGTGTAGAAACAAATGAAAAAATAGCGGAAGAATAAATAAATAATAAATTGTTCACTATAATAATAAGATAACAACCAAAAGTGTGGAGGTTGGAGGCTCTGGTTGAAATGAAATCACTGATTGGATTATCTACTGGAGCATCTCTTATTCGGGAAAAAGAATGATTAAGATTGCATTAGACTTTTACTAAAATGAGCAACTGGATATAGATGCCTTTTGAAAATCCTACATGGATCAATATTCTAATTTTTAAAAGAACTTTGTTACGCCCAAAAAAGCCAGGGCTGGTGTAAGCTTAAATCAGCAGAAACCAATCATAATTCAAGAAGGTTTTCTACCATCTGGATGCAGCCACGTCCCGCAAGGAGGAGAGAGGTAAGGCCATCATTAGTAAAGCAAGTGAACGCCAGGTTTATGAGTGGTTAGAAATTGTCCACCTGTTGAAGCCCTATGCGATTTAAGAATATCTCTCGTGCAAACAACCAATGGGAAGAGGGTTAGGAATTGTACCACACCTGCCGGCACACAAAATCATGATTACTAGCTTGAATCCTCCAACTATAAATAGAGGACTCTCCTATATTTTACAGGATGGGCTCATCTACCGCTCAAAGCATATACTCTCTCTGTCTCCCTACATTAATTTTCTCTATTGTAATCTAGCTAGCTGAGTGCGACCCGATTGTAATCACCCATCAATATAATCACAGTGGAAGTAGGACTCGCCTTAGAGCATCCAAACCACTTTAAAAAGTGTTACTTGTTCAGTATCTCTTTTTATACTTCCCTATCACGTGTGACTTCTAAATCCGCTTAACACTTCACACACGTGAATAGTTGGTGTTAAAATCAAGCATCAACAAACTTCAATAGAAAGTTACACAACTATCTTATTAAACCGGTACCAGGGGCCTACATAACATACGATCACATGTGCAGCGAGCAGAGCCATGTTGCTATTAAACAAGTGGACATAGTGAGAACCAACAAAATTCAAATCTCTTGCTAGTGATTTCTATCTAGCCAAGATAGTGAAATAGATAAAAAGGAGCGAAATCATTCCATTCAGGAAAGTGGCTTCTCAAATAAATTCAGCAAGGGTGCTCCCAACTCCAAGCCACCCTCAGCAAGACACAATTCTGTTTCTGCATTTGAACTATGAAATTAAGTATCGCAACAGAAATGAGAAACAATGAAGTTAGTAAAAGGAAAAAGGAAAACATACTTACAAAGTCTTAAGAGAGTGTAAAAGAGAACACATATATTCATGTGATTTTCCAATCCAGAAACTACAGTCAATCAATAAAACAGAAGTTTCAGAAACAAACGAATAAGCAACAAATCTAGTTTGTCCACAGTATTTATGAATAATAAAATAACTTTAAGCCATGAAAATTAATAGATAATAATCTTTGATGCAACTGCAAGAGAAAAATAATACCCAGAATACAATTATAAATACAAAGTTCCAACAAAAATGCCAATGACAAATGATAATAAAAATACAATACCGAGCGCTTGAATTTTTCTACATTAGAAAAATAAATCAGTAGAGCTTATGTTTTAGACCACTAAGCATGGTAGAATTATATTAAATAACAATGAAGAATTGGTGAAAAATCATCTATAAACAAAGCGTGTCCAGCAAAAGCTCAAAATTACAAACTTTATGAACAATCTCTAAAGGGTTGACTTTACTTGTGCCAGGCACACGTCAAGCACTCTACAAGACCAAAATTTTAGCATAGTAATGCATCGAGAAGTGTTATGGCTTCGTTTGGTTCAAAATTTGGGGGTTTTGGGAAAAGTTTTTTGGAAAAAGTTAAAAAAAAAAGTTGAATTGGGCGGGTATTACGAGGTAGGATTTATAAATTAATAAAATGCCCCCTATGTTTGTTTTTTTACAAAATACTCCCTATAATAAAACATTAAAAGTTAACAAAAATACCCCTAACCTACCCTCAAATACCCCCAGCCGGCCACCACCATCGGAGGTGGCCGGAGTCGTCTTATCGGCGCATGACCGGCTGGATCTTGCCGGTCATGCGTCACTATGGCCTTTTCCGGCTAGATCTACCGCCAGATCTGGCCGTATTTGCTCTCAACGGCGCACTACCGGCCAGATTCAGCTGATAGTGTGCCATCCTACCAGATTCTGGCCATTTTCCGGCGGTGGTGGCCGGAATCTGGTAAATGTGGATTGTTGGGGTGTTTTTGTAATTTTAAAAAAATATTTAGGGGTATTTAATTAAATTAACAAATTTAGAGGGTTTAAAAAAAATTGAATAATATTGAAAGTAGTATTCCCAAAAATGAGAGTTTTTGGGTATTTTACTGTTTAACTTTTTAGGGAATACTAAGAGTAGTATTCCCAATTTTGAACCAAACGAAGCCTATGTTTTTTGTTTTTTTTTTTGTCTTTCTGTATATTATATCTTTCAAACTAGGTAAATCCATTATTTATAGCGTACTTAACGTGTCCCTAACCCATCGCTAGATTATAAAAAAAAAAAAAATACAAAACAAAAGCTTTCCAGCAAAAGTTCTGGCCAAGGTTTTAAAAGAAAGGGGGGGGGGGGGGGGGGGGGGGGGGGGGGGGGAAGGGGAGGATAGGGGTTTGACCCGGCCAAGCCATCGGGTCACGGGTTGGACCATGACGTCAGCAAAAAACAAAAAAAATTTAAACAAAATGCAGATTTTAATTTTAATAGTGATAATAAAAAATTCTCTGTAACAAATATATCCAAATCTGAAATTAAATTAAAACTACAATATACCAACTTGGATAGAGAAGAGAGTAACTAGAGAGGAAAGCTTAAGACGGAGAATTTGAATCATCCATAAACTCTCTCCTCACAAAGCACAGTGAAAATTCATCCCTCTTTGAGAATATTATAAAACAAACAAGGTATGTTTTTGCCAAGCATCTTTTCAATTTAACTTACAATTTCTGCAAGGACCGAAACTCCAACGACCCAAATTTGGCACACAAAAATAAACTAGAAAAAACTGGAGAAAAGAGAACTACCACTCCAAGTTTGGAATCACGGCCAAATGAAACTAGTCAGAGCAGCCAGATTAAAAAGGCAACAACACTACGACCAAAGTAAAACCAGAAAGAGTAAACCAGTATCACCATCAGAGAGAGAGTGCAAGCTAAAGCTGATTTCGTTGTTTGGTAATGAGTTTTTTTTATTTTTCTTCTCTATCGGTGCTAGGTATTGTCGAATAAAATTAGGGAAGGGAGAAAACTCAGAAAAGGGTTTTAAGTTTTTAACTTTTAATTTTATTATTTTTATATTTTACTGTAGTAGACCTAGTTTATACCGGATAGACTGGTGGGTCATCGCCAAAAAAACCGGTCGAATCGCTGGTGGAAGCAGGTCAATTGCTGATTTCGGTTTTTTATATGAACTAACCCTGTCTAGCCACTGATTCCCGGTCGAACAGGTTCAACCGGTCGAGCTGGCCAAGTTTTAAAACCATGGTTCTCGCAATAGTCAATCTACAAACGAAAAATTCGACACAAATTTTACAATAACACAAGGCAACATCAAATTTTCCATCAATTAAAACATTTGGCAATGAATTTACCTTATACTGATGCGAGAAAGGGATTGATGGATTGAAAAAGTGAGAGGTCAAGGTACAGTTGGCTTCAGAAAAATGAGCGAATTTTAGGGATTTGGGTTTTAGCCTTTTACGGTTTGATTGGGAGTTTCATGGTAGCAGTTACGAGGGTAAACCACCTAGCAGTTTTGAGGGTAAACCACCATAGTGGTTTTGAGGGATTTTTAGTAGTGGTTTTCAAAACACCCAACCTGTGTTTGAGAGTTTATTTTTCAGCGGTTCTGACAGTTTTTTAAAATCACAAATTTACATATATGCCTATAAAAATACCCCAATTTCAACCAGTACTTGGAAATTTTGTTTTTTCAATTACAAGGTAAGAGTTCTTTATTTATTTTCTACTTATTTGTATTTGATAACTTCAAATGTGATAAAGTTTCCTTATCATTCTTCGCCATTCTTTGCAACATCTAGAATGATTGAAAAATTCTAGCTTCACTTTTCCAAGAAAGCATGTAGAAATGAGATTTTAATATTTTTTTTTTTTATGATTGCTTCAAATTATTTTATATTTAATATGGTTGGAGACGCGCATAATATGTAAAAATTTTTTTTGGATATAATTTGAATAGTTTTATAGTGGACAAGGTATTTGTGGAATAAAATTTTAAAACCAACTAAAACACTCCGATTTGAGGTATTTTATAAACCCTCAAAAAATATACTACATTGGTTCTGAGGGTTTTTTACCCAGTCAAAACCAGTGCATAAAAAATCAGACAAGTAATGGTTTTAGAACACCTTAAAATCAGTCTAATTAAAAACCCCTCAAAACTAACAAAAAAAACACTCTCAAGCATACCCTTAGGGATTTTAAGATGAAGAAAAAGAAGGATTTTGATTTTGAATATTTGCAAATAAATTCAACTTCTTGAGGGTTAACCGTATGTTACTGTGTACCGGAGGCCACAAAATCATGAGCCGCAAAGCTGCCGACATGTCTTAGGTTTTCTCTAGTGGCTTCTTGAGGTAAGTTAACCTACATGCGTGTTCACAATAAGCAGCAATTTCAGTCAATCAGATCACACATTTCTGCATGCTCATTAATTTATTGATTTTCTTTTTAACTTAGTAATAGTTTCATGAAATTAAATAAAATCCTCCTAAAATTATGATAATAACAAAAATATTTGTATTAAGGTAAGGGCAGTCCTGCATTTTAACGGCACATTAATAATAAGGGAATTTCTTTCATTTCTAAACTCTCAAGAAAAATTTTGTTATTTAATTATACCTCAAGCAATTCAGGATCAAAATCGAGATAATAATTTGATAAATAATTAAAAAAGTGAAAAATAATTTAATTGACTCCACCACCTATATGGAAATAATAATTCACTAAATAATTTAAAATTAGGTGACTATTGTTGTGTGGATCAATTATTGACATTCTTTGTCAAATAATTTTTTTTATTTATTTTTTTTTTAGATATTTTAAAATAAGTTGCATTTAAGAGTCTCTTATTTTTTTTTTAAATATAAAATCTTCATATTGCATTGTGGGTACAGTATAATACAATCTTTTATTTTAAAATAAAAGAGATTTTGTGTGTAAAATATATGCAAAATTGTATATATCTTAATTACAAAATTTAATGCATGAATAAAATTTAATACATAAATCGCCATATAATTATTATATTATAATTAACATTTTAATATATATATAGCTAAAAGTTCCATTTGTTCTGTTCACACGATTCCGTGTATGAAGATCAGTGAATAATAAAACCTTGGTCCCTGCATTTTCGCAAACCAGTCAAATCTGAAAGTGACAACTAAGCCCTTATCGGTTAATAGCGATTAACATATTTTTTTAATCTAAAATACCGTTAATATTTACCTATATAAATTATATTAAAAAAAAAAAAAAAAAGGCCCAGCTGGTAAGTGAGCTCGAAGTGGGGCAAATTTTACATGTAATATCATGGGTTTGATCCGTATTGAAAGCATCTAATGATAAAGGATATTTATTTAAGCTCCGATCATGGTTAGTCTCATACCTTCAGGTATGGCGAGACCCGAGATTTTCATAAAAAAAAATGATAAAAAGAAATCAACTACTAAACCAAAATTCTGCTAAAATTTAGAATAATATAATTGATTAAAAGAAATTGGAAATAAACAAAATTGTTCTAAATATTTAACAATGGTTTATTTTCTTATAATTCTATTAATTTTTATTGTAATTCACATAAGATAAAAATAGGAAGACTTTTAAAAACTCTAAAAAATTTTAAACCATCGTTTAATTGACAAGGATCTAAATCCTAATTTCAGATTATATTAGATCTAAATGTTATTAGGCCAAATATAAGGACCCAAATGTATTTTACTTTCAATAATAAAATAATAATAATAAAGTAATTTTGATTTATTATGATTAGGCACGGTGCTCTCAATCTCAAACCCTCTTCGTATAGTTTTATTTTATTTTTCTTTTTTCGTGAAATCTCTATTCTCTCAGCCCCTCTTTTATTTTCTTTGTCTCTAAAATCCCTAAAATTCAACTCAAAATCTCTCCTTTTTCCTGAATCCCTAAATCTCAAAACCCTAAAATACTTTCAACTCCATCTCGAACCCTAAAATATTTTTCAACCTCACTCTCTCTCGTTCTGTACCTCACTCATCACTTCAAATCTTGTTGGTTCCGTGAAGTCGATAAATCGTGAAATCAAAATCAAGTCGCTGCTGTGTAGTTAGTAAATCGTATTTTCTCGTGGTCATGGCCAGTTGAAGTTGGTGTCAGTGAGGGATTTTGTTGCTTTGGAGGGTTTATTACTGGTAATTGATTCGGGGTTCCGGGTTATCTTTGAATTTGAATTTTATGTTGTATTTTCTGATTTAATATATTTTTTTTACAGTTTAGGGTGTTTTGAAGTTTAAATTTGTACTGGGTTTTCTGTTATTTGGTTTGTTAGCAGACAAGTTGAAGTTTTGGATCTTGAAATTCTATGTACTTGAATCACAATAAGTGTTCATGTATTGAATAATTTTTTTGGTGTACGTGAGTTTTGAGTTTTAAGTTATTTAAGAAATAGATATTTAGGGTTTAATGTTATTGAAGAATTAGAGATTTAAATGCTCCGTAGAATTTACTCGACCCTAGTTTTGGACTTTTGGTTGCTAATTTAATGAATAAAAAGAATCAAAGAAAGGTTGTATCTTTTGTTTCCACTGTTTTCTCATTATTGGAACAATGAATGTGTGAACTCATTGAAACAAAATGGTTAAATGATGTTTTGTTAACTGAAGTCTTTTTTTAGTTTAGTTTAATCTAGTACGAGCCATGTAGTTAGTTTGATTATGGCTCCAATAATAATTCCTTTGGTAAATATTATTATTTTAAGGTTACAGAGAAAATTTTCAGGGGATAAATGTACTCCATGGTTGATGTGCGTGCAGAATTTGGTGAGAGCTACATTTCCTGTGCATTGGTTGTAAGGGCCATAAAATAAAGTTATGGCTAAGATGATGGGGAAGCGTGATAGGTTCTCAGGAGGGTATTACAGGAATAATGCATTTCAGACGGCTGGTGAATCTGAAGGGTCTGGTAGCTCAGGAAGGATTGACACTGAGATTACTGCTTCAGAGGATTCGAGTGCTCCGACTAGGAAATGCATTAATTTAAATTCTGATAAACAAGATGCTTTTGGTGTTCCCATGCAAATCCTTTCTCTGTCAAACATTTCACCACCTGAAAGGAAGGATCTACTAAAAAGGTTGAGAATTGAACTTGAACAGATACGGATTGTCCTAAAGAAAGTAGAGTTTCAAAGAACAAATGGGATGACTGTATCTTCTTCTAGTGATATTCTTAGTTGTAGTAATGGTCAAAATGGGCCTCAAGTTGAGAAGTTCAGAAAATCCTCGGGGATGAACAGCGGGCCAGGTAAGAAACTGAATCCTGTCAGTAATAAAGGACATGGAGGGAACCGGGGTGCTACAGGAAAGACTGATTCTGCAAAAATACAGCCTCCAATAGCGAGCACTGCAAATATACTTTTGATGAAACAGTGTGAAACTCTGTTGAAACGGCTAATGTCTCATCAGTATGGTTGGGTCTTCAACAAACCTGTTGATGTGGTGAAGTTGAACATTCCAGATTATTTTACTGTTATTAAGCATCCAATGGATTTGGGAACAATAAAAGGAAAGATAGCTTCGGGTGCATACTCAAATCCATTGGAATTTCTTGCTGATGTAAGGCTTACATTTAGCAATGCAATGATCTATAATCCACCTGGGAATGATGTCTATGTTATGGCGGATACACTGCGTAAATTTTTTGAAGCGAGGTGGAAAGCTATTGAGAAAAAATTACCAGTATCTGAGCCCCAATTATTACCTGGAAAGAAAGCCCCCCATGTCAATGTAGGGACTGTTAAGGCAACGCCTACGGCTAAAAAGAGAAAAATAGAAACATTGCACCATGAAATTGTGCTGGAGCCTGTTAAGCCGGTAATGACTGCTGTGGAGAGGCAGAATCTAGGCAAAGAACTAGAGTCTTTGCTGGGAGAAATGCCTATGCATATCATTGATTTCTTGAGGGAACATAGTTCCAATGGAAGAGAAACTGGAGAGGATGAAATTGAGATTGATATAGATGATCTCAGTGATGATACATTGTTCACATTAAGGAAGCTTTTAGATGATTTTTTGAGAGAGAAACAAAAGAACCAGGCAAGAGCTGAACCTTGTGAAATAGAGGTGCACTATTCTGCTCCTGCTAAGTTGATGTACATTTTGAAATCTTCTTCTGCTATATTTTGGGTTTATGAGTGACAAAATCTGGGTTTTTATTCATTGTAACAGCTGTTGAATGAATCAGGACTAAGCAATTCATCCATGCAACAATGCAAAGGTTTTTTTCTGATTGATTCAAAAGTCTGAATGTTTTTTGCTAAATACTATTACTACTTTATGACTTATTTTTTCCCTGCATTTTGCATTTGTAGAGGATGATCCGGCTGATGAGGATATTGATATTGGTGGAAATGAGCCTCCTGTCTCAAGTTATCCTCCTGTGGAGATTGAAAAGGATACGGGGATTAAAAGCAGTAAATGTGTCAGTTCGGACAGCTCCAGTGGTAATAATGTTTTCCCTGTCTTGTCTAATACTTGGTTGGGTAAATTTTTTTGTTATTTTCTTTCATAAATTTCCTATTTGTTTGATCATTAATATTTTTCTTCCTGATTGTGGCATTTAAGGGCTAGATTTGAAAGTTCTTTGTTTTGAGTTAGAATTGGAATGGGAATAAGTGCATTTTGAGTATAGAAGAGCCCAAAATAATGTAATTAGGTGATATGTTGTGCCAATGGTCTTGCGCTTAAATTCTATGTTGATTTTCTATTTCTCTTATTTAAGCCATTGTAATTTGATTTTTTGTGGTATTTTATTTGTATGTAGTTCCATTATGTGTTGTTATTTTTGGTTCTTTTTTTTCTCTTGACAATTCTTTGTGATTATGGTTTTGATTGTGGCTGAATTAATTTATTCCATTCTGTTTCTTAACTCTTTTTTCCCTCCTTCACAGATTCCGACTCTAGCTGTTCTTCTGACAGTGAATCTAGTGGTGTTAAAGCGTCAAGTCCTATCAATGTTTCAAAGGTACACACTTATTCAATTTGGTGGTGACTAATTGAAACTTTTAGTTAAGTCCCTCTTGATTTGATGTTTGATTGACTACTATGCTTTCTTGGCTGTTCATGTGAATTACCATGATGCTATTCAACCTACTTTCTACTTAATCAAGCATTTCCTTCAGGTACCTGAAACCTTGAGTTCTGGAGCCCAATTAGATGAGAAGACAAGTACTGGCAACCCCTTTGATGGAAATCGTAAGTATTTGGTTGTCTGACTTGCCTTTTTTGGTTAAAAGTTGTGAAAATCTTTGAATTTAGTGTCAGTTGGTCTTTTTTGGCTTAAGTCATGAAATTGAATCGAAATACAAACTGGTATAAGTTCTTAAACCTCTCTGTTTTTTTCCTGTAAATAACTATTTTCTATATTCATATCTCATTATCTCATATTGTCCTCGGGGATCTTAGCTTGTTTGCTAGATTTGGATTTGCGGATGATCTTTGATAAAGAAGTTTTGGTCAAAATCTAGATGGGCATGGACCTATATTGAATGTTGGAAAGAAATTATTTTTCCTGATATTGCTTCCAATGTTTGAGTTTTGAAACTATTATGTATGTGTTCAACCCAACATAGTCTGATATGAGATGCTTTTATTACTTTTGTGTTTCTTTTAGCATCCTTATCCGAAAGTTTGTCTGTGCCTTCTTTTTTTTCATTACAATTTGGAGGGGATGATTTTATAGAGAGAGAATTTACAGTTTTCTGTCCAACTTCAGGAATCTTTTAGAATGTCTTGGTCGCTTGAACATGAGTGTTTCTTTTTTCTTTTTTTTTTCTTTTCTCTTATTGTTCTTTTAAGCTGTCTTGACCAGTATTTGTACGGCTCCATAGGGGACAACATATTTACCCTTCTGTAATTTTTTTTTTCAGTTAATATTGGTTTTTCTTTTTTACTGATTTTTAATCGTAAAGAAAGATAACATTTATATTTCTGCTTTATTTATAAATTTTTCATTTATGGTCTCTTTCAGAATCTGTGAGTGAGTTGGATCAGGTTGAACATACTTCCCAGCAAAAACCGAGCTCTATTGAGTCAGATTGTTGTCAAGATGGTAAGATCAAGAGTCTGGAAAACTTTACCAGCCTGGTAGTTTTCAAACAATGTCTCATTATTCATACCTGAAAAATTTAGGTGACAGTGCTCCCAGTGAGAGGCAGGTCTCTCCTGAAAAGCTTTATCGGGCCGCTTTATTGAAGAATCGATTTGCTGATACCATTTTAAAAGCTCGTGAAAAAACTCTTTCACAGGTTGGTTATATACTTGGGGGTTATTGTTTGACTTACCCATTGTCAATGTGTCTGTTCTGTGAGCATTTTCAACTCTATATTTGATCTAATGCAAATTTCATCTGGGTGACAAGGGGGACCCTGAGAAATTGCGTAAGGAGAAGGAGGAACTTGAACTACAACGACGAAAAGGTTCTCATCTTTACTATTGTACTATTACATTATAATGCTTTTTGAATATTTGTATTTGTTATGCATGGATGAATTGGGATCTATGAGAAATCATAGATGATAACATTTTCTGCCTTTCTTCTATTCAGAAAAGGCTCGTCTGCAGGCAGAAGCAAAGGCTGCTGAAGAGGCTAGAAGGCAAGCTGAAGAAGAAGCTGCAGCTGAGGCTAGACGAAAGAGAGAGGTTGAGAGAGAAGCTGCACGACAGGCATTGCTGAAGGTAAATGGGAAACAGACAATATCTACGGATTTGCATAACTATGTACTCCTTATCCTTGTTCTAGATTTTACCAGAACAATTTCTGGCGTTTTTGCAGATGGAGAAGACTGTTGAAATTAATGAGAATTCTCGTTTCCTTGAAGACTTAGAAATGCTTAGGACTGCCCCTGCCGAGCATTTACCAAGCTCTGTTGATGAGACAAGCCCAGATCACTCTCAGGATGGCTTGGGTAGTTTCAAGTTTTGCGGCAGTAACCCCTTGGAACAACTTGGTTTATACATGAAAGAGGACGAGGACGAGGAAGACGCCGAACCACCAACCATTCCAAACCCTCTAAACGACGTAGAGGAAGGCGAGATTGACTAAGTGAGCTATCACTGCTTTATTTAGATACATGAACAAGTCAATGAAGCAAGAAATATGATATACATTGCATCAAATCAAAAAGAAAAGAAAAGAAATCAATCTTTTGCCAAAGGATCACAAGATCAAAAGAAAGTTTTGCCAACAATTGGAGTTGAAAAAGGGTGAAGAGAAGAAGCGTCAATTATCAATTTTGGCTTGTTTTTGTTTTGCTTTGGAATTGAGATGTGGCAAATATTGTGAGATGGGGATTTGATTGATTGTGGGAGAAGGCTGAAAAAGAAGCCAAAAGTGGGCAGATAGGTAGGCAGCAGAAAAGGAAACCCTGTAAAAATGTTGATTTTGGGATTAAAAAAAAAAAAAAAAAAATGGGGGCCTTAAGCTGTATTACAAACAACTTTAATGAATACATTTAGAGTTCATAGCAAGTTTATCTAGTGAAATGAGAATTATTAGTGGTAGTTAGAGCTTAATTTTATCATTTTCTTTTATATCAGTTAATCTTTATACCATATAATAACCCAAATAATTATAAATTTGTCAATAATGGACTATTATTATGGATTACTGGCTTTTGACATAGAGTGTAATTTGTAAAAACCTGTTGAATTTAGTTGTGTTTGAAACATTGTTTTAATAACCAACCCCCAAATAATTATATAATGAGGCTTGTTATTGCCATGGATTTAGTTTTGTGGTTTTCGATTGATTCATTCATTGAAAATAATCTTTACTGCTATTATTGCATTCACTAACTATTTTCTCTTCAAAAACCCTAACATCCTGATCTTTAATTGTTTATCGATGATTATTTCAATTTTTAAGGTTTTTGGTGAATTAGAAAATTGCTAACCTGACTTGATGAAGGTCTCGAGTCCTAGTTTAACCAGCTGGGTCGGGTTTTAAAAGTTAAAACATTGGTTTGAAATTGAACATGTATGGAGTATTGATCAATGCTTTCAAAGAAAAACGCTTTAAAAAAAGTATTACACATTTTCTTTTTCCAAAAATATAAGGCCATACCCCATTACTCCATTCATGATTTAAATTTTAAAAGTCTTAAAAAATTTCAGCGTAATTGTGCCGAGGATAAAAAGACAATATAACCCCTGAGAGATGGTACGTTTGGCAATCGTTTCTTGTAACAATTAACAAACCAAAAGGCCAAAGCCAGAGCTAGAGTAAACCAAATTTCACAAAACTTTCATTTTCGTCCCATTTTTTTTCTTCGTCCCTCAACGGACAAAAATGGCGATGGCGGTTGAAGGAGGAGGGACGTTATCAGAGATACACCAGAGCGCGAAGAAGCTGCTGATGAAAGCGAGAGACGGAGTGGAGAAACTGGATCGACTCGAGAGCTCCACATCCACCGGCGGTTACGATTCGCCGGAGCTCTCTTTCGCCGTCAAGAAAGACATCTCTCAGATCCAGTCTCTCTGCGTCGAGATGGATCGTCTCTGGCGCTCCATCTCCTTTAAGTCACAGCGAGATCTTTGGAGAAGGTAAAATCCCTCTCAAGTATTAAATTATCAGAAGGTCGTCATCACGGTGACCGGTAATGTTACCGGTTCTCTAATACGATTTGGATTGGAATCTTGAATTACTGTGTAGTATTAGTATTTTATTTTCACTGTAATTACCAGGTTGTTTAAGTTAGAATTCTAAAATCCTGTAACGTTACTGGTACTGTAGTTGCAATTGGATCGGAATCTTGAATTACTGTGTGCTATCAAATTTGTATTTCAACTGTAATGACCAGGTTCTTGAATTAGAACTTTAAAATCCGGTAACGTTAACGGTACTTTAATCACGTTTGGATTTGAATCTTGGTTTCCTGTGTAGTTTTATAACTTCTATTCCAACTGTAGTTACAGGATGTTAGGTTACAATTCTAAAATCTGGCAACATTCCTGTTACTGTAATCATGATTGGATTGGAATATTGAATTACGGTGTGGTATTGAATTTCCTGTGTAGTATTATAACTTCTATTCTAATTGTAATTACAGGTTGTTAAGTTAGAATTCTGAAATCTGGTAACTTTGCCGGTACTGTAGTTACATTGGATCGGAATCTTGAACTTGTTTAGTAGTAAACTTCTATTTCTACTGAAATTACTGGCTTGTTAAGAGTTCTGAAATCTGTAATGTTACTGGTACTTTTGTTACAATCAAATTGGAATCTTGAATTACTGTTAGTATTAAATTTCTATTTCAACTGTACTTATCAGGTTGGTAACTTACATCTAAAATCCAGCAAGTTACTGGTACTGTAGTTAGAATCTGATTGGAATCTTGAATCTTGAGAGTGTGGATTCTTAATCTTAGTTTGGGTTATCGGTTATTTTCTTTTCCTGTGTTTGATCATGAAATGAGTTATTTTTGGTGGTAGTGACAGTGCCTTTTTTGTGTTTTTTCATGCAGAAAAGTGGAACAAATAGCAGAAGAGGCTGAACAATTGAAAGAAAGTCTGGACAAGTATTTGTTAAGAAATCAGAGACGGATGAACGAAGCTAGAGAGAGGGCAGACTTGCTTGGGAGAGCTGTATGTAATCCATTTTTTGTTAGGAGTGGTGAAAATAATGTAGTGCGCTGTCTTGTTATTGATGGAGAATTTTTTTTCCAGTCTAATGAATTTATTTTTTGTTCTAGAATGGAGAATCTTCTCATGTTTTGAGAATTTTTGATGAGGAAGCACAAGCGATGCAGTCAGTTCGAAATTCATCAAGAATGCTACAAGAATCTTTTGCTACGGGAACTGCCATCCTTGCTAAATATGCAGAGCAAAGGGAGCGCCTGAAGGTATTCGCATTTAAAGAAATGCTTATTAACATACACTCACATATGTATGCACAAAATAAAGTTAACCCTATGGAAAATGTCAAATGTAAAATTTACGCTCTGGTTTCAGTTATATTCTTCTAACTCTAATAAGTGAGGATCATTGGTCTTCCTAGCTGTCATCATTAGCATTAGTTTATACCAAGTACATGGAGCTTATAAGTGTCTGTGGTGGTTTCTCTGTGGTAGCTGTGGAGAAATTAGGTGGTTTCTTTTTATTGTTATGTATGCTGATAGTGTGTAGAATAAGTTTATGACAGGTTTTTAAATAACTAAAAATAAGACCGGCATCAGAACCTGCCATAATGGTGTTGCTGTATTTTGTTATTGTTAGTATCAGCATGTATACCTACATGAGAGCTTTGCTTAAAGACAGCCCACCTCAGGATGAATTTCAGATAGTTGTTGAAAATTGTTTGGATTCTGATTTTCTTTTGAGTTGGAGTATAGTTGTGAGCTTCCAATTAGTGAAAAATGGGAGAAAGTGTGTTCTTTCAAGTGTCATGTAGAGTTTGCTTGTTTGGTATTATACTGTATTTCTGGGTTTGAGTTGAACTATTAAAATAGAGACCGCTCAAACTATTTTACTTAAAACATTGACATTTTAGTTAATGCCTTAACATTACTTTTGCTATTGGTGTTGACAAAGAGCTGAATATGTATATATATTTTTCCAGAAAGCACAACGGAAAGCTCTTGATGTTCTTAACACAGTGGGGCTCTCCAACTCTGTACTGAGGCTGATCGAGAGGAGGAATCGTGTCGATAGGTGGATTAAGTATGTTGGGATGATATCAACGGTGGTAATCATATTTTTGTTTTGGAGGTGGACTAGGTAGTTGATCTGCCCTTCATAATTTGCACATAGAACATTACTTGCCATCTTTGTTGAGGATGATCTGTTTCCGTGCTAGAGGGCTAACTAATGAGATTGTAAACGCCATTGTTTGTGAGCACAACCGGGTATAGAATTTGATTTACCAAAAAAAAAAAAAAAACATTGGCAATATTTGAAAGAAGACTTGAAATACTATAATAATAGGATGTAAAATTTTGATACTATTTATGGAAAGTGTATGTTAGTGGCTAAAGAGTAAAGGGACAGAAAGAATGTGGCCTAATTAGCAGGGATGATATCAATGGTTGGATACTTCGATGGAATTTCGTTATATCAATTTGTTCTTCTGCTCGGTTTACATTTCCACCCACAAGGAGTGTAGGTACGATGATGTTCTTATGGTTTTAGGCTATCATTTATGCATTGGACAAGCGAATAAAATTATGTCAAAAATATATTTTCACACACTTATTATTTTATCTTTTTACGTACAAGGGAACGAGAGAATAGAAAAGCCAACGTAGGGTTTATTTCATACACCTGTTACAGGATCGTTCACTCTTAGACAGTGAGATTTTTAATAATTTAAAGAGGTATTTAATAAATCATAAGGTTTTTTTTTTTTTTCGTAAAACTCAAATATGTTTTGTCTCATAAATCATAATCAATGTTCTAAAACCAAACCGGTTCGACTGGTGACCGACATCCTCTCCTGTCTGAATTTTCAATTTTATTATTCATCTAAATCCTTAATTTTACCTTTGGCGAATGAGGAACTACTAAGTGCCAAGATTAGATGGGTTTTGTAGAGTGGAGGCCATTGGTTGAAGGGATGGGGTTGGATTAAATTTTGGTTATCGGAATCAACTAGAATTTGGGCGGAAAAGTAAAAACCCAAACAGATTATAGGGTTGTATTTGCTAGATTTCAAACTAGTAGAGACTGAAAGTTTAGGGGTGTTTTGTAGGATTTCAAACTTTTTAGACCACCAGAAACCACCAATTTAATTGGTCAGACCGGTCAAATCGTGAATCGGGCCTAGGCATGGCAATGTTCCTGGGATTTCGGGGACTCGTCCCGACCCACCCCATATGGGGCGGGGAAGCCCCGGTTTTTTTGGGGATAGGGGTGAGGGTGGGGTTTGTTTTAATCCCCGTCCTCGGGGATGGAGTGGGGGTGGGTGATGCCTTTCCCCCGACCCGCCCCGTATATAATATATAATATATATTTACTTTTCACTAATACCCTTATATTTCACCTAATTACATAATTATCCTATCTATATAAACCCATATTTTCCTAATTTATAATTGAACAAGAACAAACCCTGACCCATATTTATGTATAATTAATTATGTTTAAACGATTAATTTAAGTGTTTGTCATGTGGACGAGAATTAACTATTGTTTTTGGTAATGCTCAAATTAATTTATGTTTATATAAAATTAACGGGGTAGGGACGGGGCTCTAATATTTCCCTTTGGAGCGGGGAAGGGGAATTCCTGTCATCCCTGTAACGGGGATGGGCGGGGGTGGGGAATGATTTTGAGGGTGAGGATGGATACGTTGAATGAGATCCCCGCCCTGCCTCACCCCATTGCCATGCCTAATCAGGCCCTTGACCGGGTCAAGATCTAGTTCGGTTTTCAAAACATTGTTTATAAGGGTGTATGAAATAAACCCACGAAACAAATTGTGAGCTCATACTAGGAAAATATTAAATTATTTTGGTTTTATATCCCAAAAACCTTAAAAAATTCTCATCCTAAATGATCACTGAGCCAAGTCTCAGAACCCATTTCACAGAATCAAATGATAATTGTGGTGATATGTATGATGATGCAGAATTTATTTGCACAAAAAAGGAAACAAAAGTTATACAAGCAATTTTGAGATACAACAATTTCTAGTTTTACAAACAAATTTGAGGTGGGTAAACATCTGTATCAAGTCTAATATTAACAAAATCTTACCAGAACGATCGAAACAATCACACATTACTTTACAAACGAAAACTCAGATTTCCCTCTCACTCCTAGTTCCTGATTCAGGGGATGGATAATAGATGCACATAATCATACCGAATTTTCGATTACTATATATGACGACACCATGTATGAACCAATGCTAAATTATATAATATTTTCACTATAAAGAATAAAAAAACTAGCACAGCCAAGTGCGTGGCTAAGAAAAACAAGCAGATGAGATTACATATGCGTATACAAGTCTTTAGCATCCAGCTGCCTTCAAGAATTTGTCATAGGGGCTTGAGGGAGGTAACCGAAAAGAATACTGTCCAAAATCGCGCGAGCAGAGGGCAAGCTGATCCCGTGCTCGGACTTGATCCTTATTGAATAACTTGAGATTTCCTTCTGGAAAACCCACATCCTGAAACAAGAACAGACAATTTCGCATATGTGAAACTTCTCCAATCTGCCTGTCCATGCAATAAAAGTTTTAATCCTAAACATGATTTTTGTGTACAAATGTATCCGACACAATGGAATTCATGTTTCTAAACAATGAGTGGCCTCGCTTTATCGGCTACTTTTTCAACCAACGATGTTCTACGACTAAACCATTCTCACCCAAAAAAGAGAACACCTTAGTCACTACGTTTAATTGAGCTTCTTTGCAGCGGTTGATAGGCATTAAGGGCTATATATAAAATTGTGTAAAATATATCAATCCATTCATGAAGATAATTACTGCTTATATCAATAATGAATCAACTTACCGTGTTCGGTAAAGCGGGGTGGTTGTGCCCCCCATTTTCACTAGAAACAACTATTGCCTTGGTTTCCTGTTGATGCTTGAAACTTTGAAGCACTGACATCTTCTGCTGTTTGCCTGTTACAAGGGCCTCACACTGGCTCTTCATTTGGTCATAAGGTATGGGAGTAGAGGAAACTGGCAAGCTTGCAACTTGTCGAGCAGTTTCCAAAACCTATGATCAAACAGAAACATTTTTAATTAGAGAGCATAAGCAATTAAATTTTTTAACCCACAAAAAAGTATGAATTATACAATAAACCAAGGGCGTTTCAACGAAGGCCGCTCTCAACAGTCAACAGCTATAAACTACTTCCTTTTAGCTTGGGCACCAATATTCACATATAATCAACAATCAGATATATATGCTGTTACATCATGGAAAAACAAAATGATTCTAAATGAACAACGGAATGTTGGAGAAGTTTTGCCGACAAAGAATATCCTAGTTTAGTCGCTAATCTGATTGGTTATAATTCCTTCAACAAAACATTTAAAGTCAGTAACTCCTTCCAATGACCATTAAAATCAGAACGAGGGTGAAAACACGAGTATTTTCTGAGTTTGATCCAATGCATATATAGGAAGTTTGGAACTGAATTTCCAAATACGGAAATTTCATTCTAACCAAAATTTATATTTCAGACTAAACTCCAATGGTTTTTCAGGTTTGATATACATGTTGAACATCGATAATTGTAGTAGTAATGCAATTACACAATAACAAAACCATCCATGATGCAGTTAAGACTTATCTTCAAAATAATTTTGAAATTAACTATAGAAAATATTAATTTAAAAAGATGAAGAATGAAAATGACCATCTTACCGATTCCAAAAGCTCATTAACACTTAGAACATCAAGTGTATTAATTGATAGTGATGTTTTTCTATCCGACTGACTTCCAATTGCTTCAGGAAAGGCCTCTTCATCGGTCAAGGCTGCTAAAGGCATGACCTGAAAGAAAACCATTGTTGAACCAATCTCAGAAATAATATTCTCTACGTTCATAACAGAGATTTTCTAGGTTCAATTTACCTCGTCAAAGGCCTGTAACTCCATTCGAGCAAGAGGAGAACATGGTCGTGGAGTCTCCATAAACAATGGAGCTCCTAATGGATATGCATCATCAGGGGAAAATCCTTCCAAAAGTTGTTCCTTTATGCCTGATAACTCATCCTGGAGGAGAAAATCCACCAGTCAATATAAATCTAGCAAAATGATATAAAAATCCTCTTCAAAGAGGTCAGAACTTTTCACTTGGAGAATATCAACCAAAAATTAATGACCTAGACAAAGCCTCGTCCAAAACATTCAACACCTATAAAACATATAGTCAGGAATCAGGCACTTTCATCTTCTACCTGCATTTGTTAATCACCATGGCAGAGGCCAAAGATGGTTGTAGTAACTCACCTTTCTCTTGTTTCACTGGTTTAGTGTTTGATGACAAATGGTATACGGATGATTTTTTATTTTCCTAAAGTCCTGACATGATTTCTTAAATTTGTCTCACTAACATTTCCAGCATATAAAGGATACACCACTTTTTCTCTTGAAAGGATTCAAAATGTGATCCATGATTAATACATGCTGATGTCAACATACAATCAAGAATGCCATTGACACAGGCTATTCTGTCATTAATAATCATCACTTCGATGAATGTATGCTCTATTATTTTAATCATTAGTCCAAACAAGGCCATAATTGCGGATAATGGCCACCATTTAGGTGCTGATCACCATGACCCTGTCTGCAAAATGCAGATTTGATCCTTAACTACTTCCCAAGCTTATTACCAGAGAGAAAACCATGCACCATAAACCTTATGAATAACGGAGTGCACAAATATAAATTGGTAAATCACCTCTGACAATTTCGCAAATTTAGTCATGAAGTGAGATATCACAGTTTCCTTCAACTGATGATCATTTAATTCTATTGCAGATAGAGATTTCAGTGCGCAAACTTCATCTTCCTCTGAACCATATGCTATCTTCATCTTACCAGATTCTGAATATACAGCCTGCAATCTGATATCTTCGACTAACTCAAGATAAGGATCAACCTGTTGAAAGGATGATAAAGTGATGCATATATATTAAAGGAAGTCTGAAAAGGAACTTTAATTGGTCAAAGAGAGATTAAGAAGAGGAATGGCCTTATTCTGAAGGGTAAGGATAGAGACTAACTGTTTGTTCAGTCAGAGATGCTTTAACAATAGGAATTAGCTCCGGGAGATTGCCTGCCCTTGCTGAAAAAATAAGCATGTATGAAGCCAAAGTGAAAAGTGATCTTCTGCGAGATGGTTGGAGGCCTCCTTCAATATACATAAAAGAGAAAAAGAAAAATAATATCAGTAATGAGTCTCAACAGTTCCATGCATATGTCTCACTTGCGCACAGCAAATCATATCATGAAAAATGTTTTAAATGGACATTTGCGTTGGTGTTAAATAGCATAAACTGATTCAGATTATTCGATGAAACAAAAGGGGCAGACTCAAATAAGGAAAAACCCGGTTTTCATATGAATGATCCGGCCCATTGTTGTGGTATGGATATTTTTGAGAGAAGGATATTGTGGTAACGTTATCTATATTTATTATTCATGTCGGCAGAGGAAATAGTATACCATCGGAGTTATAATAAAAAACACATTGTCACAACTTACTCTTTCGACGTAGTAGTTCGTAATTGTTAATTCATATTTAATCAGATAGGACCTATTATTAGATAGATGAGACCTATTATAGACTGACACGTTATATTTGTGAGAAAAAAAGAAGTTATGGGTGTAGTATTATTGATAAGTAAATGATATGTTCCCACCCAAGGTTTTGCGAAATGGTAGTTCCTACCCCTGGTTTCATAAATTCCAAATTCATACATTTAAATTAATAGAAAATCGTATAATGTAATGATCAAATGGTAAATTAGTCATTTAAACTACATTAACTCTTAAATGAAAATAAAAATTCCAAAAAACCCTCTACATCTCAAATTTTTCTCACAAATACCCTTAGGCCCGACTTTTTCTCGGTTGTGCGACTCTCGTCTCAGGCCCGATCTGGCCTGATTTTGGAGTCGTTGCCTCCCTTGACACCACCACTTGCATCTTTGTCCTCCCTACACCAAAACCTCCATGATTCCACCGGATTGTTACCACTAATTGTTAGGCACTACTAAGTTTAGGGTGCTACCTTTTCAAGCCAGATTTTAACCAAATTCGACGATCAAAATCCCACCCGTCACCACCCCTAGCATCACCGACCCCTTTATCAAAATCCCTATCACCCTAACGTTTGGTAGCTCATCCATCTGCCATGCGCGATTCCAACGTGCGACATTGCAGCTTGCGCTCTCAGGGTGCGATGAACATGCTTCCATCTTTCAGGGAGGTTTCTAATATTCAGTCACCACAATCAAAAGTAAAAGGTTTAAGGGTAATTTGGTAATAAATCTGAAATTTATAAAACCAGGGTGAAAACTTGCCATTTTGTGAAACTTGAGTGGGTACACCTCGTTTACTCTTTAGGAATAAATCATAATCAACATCTTTCCAAAGTCTAAACATAATACATATAATAATAATAATAATAATAATAATAAAAATGATATTTTATTAAAGAACAAGACTATATAATATACACCTATTATTTCATCAAACCTTCAGGGGGCGTTTGGTTCAGAAATGTTAGATTACTAGGAATATTAGATTACTGGGAAGATAGATTACTTTAGAAGATTACTGGGAATCTTTAAAAAAATGTGTTTGGTTAGTTGGTGGGTATGTTATATGAATATGTTTGGTTATGGGGAATAAATTGGTGGGTATGTTATTTAAATTACTAAATTGTCCCCCTTTTAAATATTAATATAAGATTATTTTTATTATTAATTTTTGAATAATTTTTTTAACCCCCAATATTTAAGATTTAACTAAAACACCCCCGCTTATATAAAACTTTCATTTATGACGAAATCACCCCCACCTCCTGCCGCCGCCTGCCGCCACCGCAAACCACAACCGGAAATCTCCGAAAGCACCCGTGAGTACCTCACCGTGACGAAGAGGCTTCGATATGGCCATTAATGGCCAGATCCTTGGCCATTAGCGGCCAGATCTGGGTGGCTGTTAACGGCCAGATCTCGCCCAAATCTGGCTGCTAATGGCCAGAATAGATCTGGCCATTTTCGGCCAGATCTGGCCTGATATGGCCGTTTTCGGCCATCAATATGGCCGAAAACGGCCATATCGATGCCTCCCGGAGCCTCCCATCGAAAGTCGTTCTTTTTTAGGGACTCCGGCGAGTTTTCGGTGGCGGTCCGTGGTGGTTGGCCACTGTCGGCGGTGGTGGTAGTGGTGGCGGTGGCTGAGTGGCAGTAGTCTATAAATTGTTTTAAGTACAAGGACATTATTGTCCAAAATTTTAGTTAAATAAGAGTAAAATTGAAATAGGATATTAATGTAAATTTATTTTAAAATGAGGGCATTATTGTCCAAAATTTTCATTAATAAGGGATAAAATTGTAACAAAAAATGATAACCCTGGTAATCTCAGAATACCTAAGAAAATGGAGGTAATTAGATTACTTCCAATATTACCAATAGTAACTACTATTAATAGTAACTACTATTGGTATTTGAAGATTACCGGAATCTTATATTACTTGACAACCAAACGTGGTAATCAAGTAATATAAGATAACATTACCCCAATAATCTGAGATTACCGCCAACCAAACGTTCCTTAATGCTTTATTATTTCCCCAGATACTGCCTGGGACTATTTCTTTGGTAGTTTTCTTTACCCTTCAAAATATCTTGCTGATGCGCACACTTGGAAATACAAGAGAAGCTGCGATGTTCACACTTCACATTGTTCAGCTTTTATGGTGAAAATTAAGTGGTCCATCCCAATCCTCTAATTAATTAATCTCTATGGGTACACGCATTATTGGAATAAATATAATTAGTCAAATTAATTATAACTTTATGATATTTATATACTAAACTAGCTCAAATGGTTAGAACGAAAAAAAAAAAGCCGAAAAAATTCATAAGTTTGACTTTTAGAAATATGGGATTTTGGACCGTTGTGTTATTTGATTAAGATGGATCTCAAATTATTGTAGAATAAATGTCTTTGTTTCTTGCATGAAGGTAGCGTGGAGAAACCTGGCAAAAATCTAAAAAAAAAGAATAAAAAAAAAAGTTGGGCTTTATATGGATCGGATAAAGCCCATTAAAGGGACGGGTAATGGGCTTGGGTTGACCGTATTTCCAACCCAACGCATCTAAAGCAATGCAGTAATGACATAAGAAGCACAATCTCACAGAGAGAAAAGAAGCACAAAGAAAACACAAAGGGGAGATCAACGCTTAAGCTTAAGACTTACGCACCCAATGATAAAATATCACACGGATTGATGACATGGCAATAAAATTTCGAAATCCCGCCTAAACCCCTAAAATCCCAATTTCATTTCGTGCGCAATTGAATTTCAATTTCCACTCCCCACTTAATATCTCCGCCCTTCGGCCTCTCAGCTCACAACGCACAACACATAATACACCCTCTCTCTCTTTCTCTCTCTCCTGGTCGTCTCTCTTTTCCTCTCATTTCAAACCCTAATCTAACCCCATTTAACCGGTAAGTTTGGTCGAATCTCGTCCATTTTCGACGATTTTTCCCGTAATTTTGACTGATCTGTTGTTGATTTTGTAGGATTCGCCATGAAAGGAGGTAAATCCAAGTCAGAAGCCAAGAGCTCAAGGTAAACTGTGTGCACATCTTTTTCCTTATTTTAGCCTCGTTTTTCTTCAGAAATAGCCTTCGGACTATGGCCGTGTAGATCTCAGATCTACATCGGAAATTTTGTTTTTCGATTTTTTTCTTTATTGTTAATATTATGTGTATTTGTGTTTTTTCTGATTTGTTTTTGTTTGTGGTGATAGGCTTGCTGTGAGCAAGAAGCCTACAAAAGCAGCTGGAAAGAAAGCGGGAAAGGCAGCTAAAGATCCAAACAAGCCCAAGAGGCCGGCCAGTGCCTTCTTCGTTTTCATGTGAGCTTACGTCATGTTTTTATTTTTTTTTTTCCTCCGTTATTTTTTTTTTTACTTGAAAATATTTCGATATTCCTTTTAAATTTTAGGTGAAATTGGCATCAAGAAGCATGATATTTGATTAATTATTATGTGTAAAAAATCTGATTTGTATATGTTGATCCTTTGGATAAAGGGAGGAATTCCGTGAGTCGTACAAGAAGGAGCACCCTAAAAACAAATCAGTAGCTGCTGTAAGTATAATTAATTGATTACTTTTCGTGTTTCTTTAAGCTTATTTGTAGATGCTTCGTTTATTTTGATTTTTTTCTTCTGTATTAGGTTGGTAAAGCTGGTGGCGAGAAATGGAAGTCCATGTCTGAGGCTGTAAGTTTTTTACAGTTGAAGATGTTTTGCTCTGCGCTTAATTATTTTAGTTATTAAATTGAACTGGGCAACTGTAGGACAAAGCACCATACGTTGCTAAGGCTGAGAAACGCAAGGCTGATTATGAGAAAGAATTGAAAAGCTATAACAAGAGACAGGTCAGTGTATTTATCATTTATTTGTTCATTTCATTCTTTTATGCTCTGAATCTGTTGACTAATCTTAATTATTGATGAAATTAGGCTGAAGGCCCAAAGGCGGATGATGAAGAGGAGTCTGAGAAGTCAATGTCAGAGGTGAACGATGAGGATGATGATGAGGAGGGCAGTGGTGATGTATAATTTATTCCTTTTGCAATTAATTTTGTTGTTAATCTTCAAAGTTGTTTATTGAAATGGTTTATTTGTTTTGTTTTGTACAGGAGGATGATGACGAGTAGGAATTGGCTAGGAAGATAGCATAGTCATTTAGGCTGTGACAGTGTTTGGACAACATATGTTAATGTTTTGTGCTTCATGTTAATTTTTTTAGATACTTTTATCATGTAAGGATGAAGATAGCATAGTCATTTAGGCTATGACAGTGTTTGGACAACATATGTTAAATGTTTTGTGCTTCATGTTAATTTTTTTAGATACTTTTATCATGTAAGGGAATTATGTTTCTCCTTCTGTCATTTTCTCCTGCTCCTTTTCAGAATTAATAGTTGTAGATGGGAGATTCACTACTATATGTACTTTGCTTCGAAAGCTTAATGATTTAGTTAAGGTGTTTTCATCTTCTGTAGAAATGTAGTCCTGTTCTTTGGTTTTTCTGTTGACATGTCTCTTATGATATCTATATGTGCTTATTCGGTTGGCAAGCTGTTTGTTTCCCGTCTTTGGGGTTGGATGTTTGATTGTGTTTTTACTTGGCATATAGGTCAAAATCTTTGAATGGGAATGAATTGTAAAAATTGTTTATCGGGGATGATCAACTGTTCAGAGTTTTGTCAAAACTAGTTAGTCTTCCCATGCATTATTGAACTTGTTGCTCTAGCTTTAACGAGCGTGGCTTGCACATGCAAATGTGGTACCTTTTCCTCGTTTCTGTTTGACTTTTAGCATTTTTCTTTCTTTGGTTAGGTTTGTTCTACAATGAAGAATTATTATTCAGTGAATGAATTTAGTTGATTTTAGTTTTGCGGGACTTTGGATTTAGATGGTGGATGGATCTGAATGTCTTATTAGCCAAACAAGGATAACGCTTACTAGACCGTCATTGAAGTACAAAATGCAACGGTCTAGTAAGTTTGAGCTACACAGAATTTGCACCACATTATGAATGCATGACTTATCCGGGCAGTACTGGATATTTTATTGTATAATTTTTATGCTACGGTTAACGTAGAAGAGAACTGGGCAATTTTTAGACTCAACTCAAGGCAGAGATTATTTTTGGCATGGAATTGTTTCCAACTTTGTTTGGTGCTGTTGCTGTTTGGGTGGAAGTGATGTATGGAAAGTATATATTACAATCTTATTACTTTCAGATTACCTTTTCTGAATAATTGTGGATTGATTGTGAAATTTGGTAACAGTTTGCCATATGGATTCCATCATTTGGAGGTGTCACTTTGGATGTCCTTCAAGCTCTGTAATTGGCCTGATAAATGCACTCCCAAAGAAAACGGTGATTGAACATGGTAATGTTCTAAGTGTTTCACCATTAATTTTGCAATAATAGATTGGTGGATGATCAGCAAAGCAAAATGCAAGAAAACCTTTTAGAATGTTTCAACAAGCCAGTTGTAATGGTTGCGAGACCAGCTTTTAATTACTCAACTTACTGGAATAGGAATTCGAAATGTTAGGTTAGGTTAGCATATAACAGTATAATCTCTTTCTAGTGTTAGCTTTTTAGAAATGGTTAGGCTATGTATACCCACTACCCAATAATTGAGGTGGGTAATGTTGTTAAGTACAGCCAATGGGCATATGGCACCATCCGAAATGGTGTTTTTTCTTCAAGTACAGCAAGGTGTTTAATTCAACACATAATCATCACCATGGCACCATTCTACATGTCCCCTAGAAGCTTTTCTCACATGGGTATTTGTTCTCTTTCATGTGTCCCTCAGGGCCGATCTCCCCATGGGTGCGAACTTCCAAACGCCCAAAGGATCTATAAATATAGTTCATGTTCAAGCAACAGAGACGAACCTCTTCCTCTAATAGTATCTCTAAAATGTTAACCAATTTAGAACCGTTGGCGTGTGTGGCAAAGAAAATGGTCTGGTTAGGTACACCAAACTTCCCTATTCACAGCAATGATCTAGTGGCTTTATGTGCCTCATATCTCCACTTTGTTCTGCTTGATATTTTTGTTTGCTTTCTCTCAAATACCCCTTTTCAATCTTTTCCTCCATCATCCTTTCTGCGACTAGAAAATAAAAAAGTATCTGCAGGTGCTGTACTGTGCTTATGCTCCAGCAACGTATTTGATAAGATTGCCAATATTAATTAATTAGGATTAAAGTATGTATGATGGGAGCGGGAGAGCCCCACCATATAATTTTGTTTATCTCTTCGACGCTGTCTGTTACCGTTGGATACATCTCTTTTAGTTCCACATGATATGCTGGATTCCTGGCATCTGCAATGAAACCATAGAACATCAAAATGCCCCATCTTGCCGGCTTATGCATGCTCTCAAAATTTTCCATTAAAATTATATATATTATAAACCAAACTATAATGAACCCCATGTTCAATTATATATTCCTTTCCCACCAAAGCTTATGGGATGAGTTTTGTAGTAATAATATTATGGTTGAATAATTTTGAATGCGTTAGAATGCTTCTACTTTGACCCAGTATACGAGGTTGTCAGGTACGGTTAGTCCAGTACACGAATGGCATGGAATAGATTATTTTATCTTATGTTGAGTTTAACATGGCAGACACAACCAGTCCCATCTCTCGGACTTCACAGCAAGAAAGCAACAACTTTATTTGCATATCTTATAACTTACTGTTTATTTTTCTATTCTCCGGTTACAGATTATCCAGTTCCATCAGTTTATAATTAGAAAACTGTAGTTACCCTTTAGCGATAGCTATTTCTTGATTTGATTGGTCAACTAAAGAAGCACAACTTAAAATTGGTTCTGTCCGTGAGACCCGCTTAACTCTAGTGTTGAACAGCGCAATTAGCTTCCGAATTTTACTAAAATGAGGAGTTAACTACGCCTTTAATTAGACTTTTTGTTTCCAAAACCAATAATCATTCTAGTTTTTGCTTCTTGCTTTAAGTTTACTTAAGACTCTTCTTTATCTCTGACTTATTTCTTCTATAAATTGACGAAATTCAGAGACATGGTTGTGTTGAGAAGTGGGTAGGTCATAGGTGGAGAAAAGATTTTTCCGAGGAAGATGGAGTGGCAGAATTTTCAAGAAAAGCAACTGGAAGAAGAAGAGATGAGAGTGGATATGGAGTTGGGGCAGTTTCAAAATGGTGGGTTGTTTGTAAAAGTTATGACTGATGAGCAAATGGAGCTTCTGAGGAAACAAATTGCTGTTTACACCATGCTTTGTGAACAGCTTGCTCAGATGCACAAGGCCTTCTCTGTTCAACATGATATTACTGGTAGATGGGTTTTGTTTTCATTGCTTGAATGACTCCATGGATGTGCCTTTACTTTTGTTTATTGTTTACTTTACTTTTTTGCTCATTATTTTGACTGCCTGAGTTGCTTATTTTATTTTATTTCTTATGCATAAATCATGCACTGATTGAAGCCCAAATTAGTGGTTCAATTTCCGCCATAACATATGGATAGAATCTTTAATTGATACCAGACATGAAATAGTTGTCCTAATGTGTATTTAGAAAGGAAAGTAGATACTTACCATATCGTAGCCCAATGTTCTGACAGTTGAACAAAAGGTTGCTGTGTTGTTAGAGAACTTGGAAATTATTATCATTACTTAAAACCATTTATATAACCTTTCAAACAGATCACCTGTGATTACCTCGGATATTTGATTGCTTTGGCTCGAAGACGCTAATTTTCAGCCTTGTTATTGGTTATTGTTGAGTGACCTCTTGTATTGCCATGCTCTGTTGAGGCATTAATGTGGACTGACCAGAAAATCTTTAGCACTCAAGTTGTGAAATCTTGGTTCATCGGTTATGGTTGATTTCTTATGCTTTGCCAAATCTTCTTATTGATTTCTTAAATCAAAAGTCTAGTGGATGTTTACATGGAGATCTCTTGTGTGTTTGCTACTTTGATTAGGAATGAGATTCGGCAATCCATACTTTGATCCATTGTTGACATCTGGTGGCCAGAAGATCACTGCCAGGCAACGTTGGACGCCGACACCCGTGCAACTTCAAATCCTTGAGCGTGTATATGATGAATGCACTGGTACTCCTAACAAGCAGAAGATCCAAGAAATAACCAGTGAACTGGCACAACATGGACAAATTTCTGAAACAAATGTGTATAACTGGTTCCAAAATAGAAGAGCTCGTATCAAGAGAAAGCAGTCAGGTGCTGGTTCGAACATGGAGGAGTCAGAAGCAGACACCCATGTTGAGTCAAAGAACAAAAACCCAGAAAGCATCCAGTTGTTTGAGAATTCAGCAGCAAGGGCTGAACACATTTTTTCTCAAAGTCCGGATATAGGTGCTTAATCTACTTCCATGATCAACCTACTGAATGCCTCAAAATAATTTTTTTTTTTTTTCATCATCTCCTAGTAGTTTAGTAACTATTGGCAATGCTATTTAAAAGAAGTTCATGCCATATTTTCTTTATAAAAAAATCTGAACACATGTTAAGGAAGATTTGTGTCATCAAGACAATAAAAACAATCATCGATTTCTAACCAACGACATGTTATGTGATCCTTTAAAACAAAAGCATTGGCGCAAATTAACAATTAGATTTCTACATGTTTCTGCAGGATTTGAGCAACTAGTGGGCAAAATGGAAGGTCCGGGTAGCTATAGTCCTGAGTGGGAGGTGGAAGGATACAGCATGCTCTGATGATAAAAGCATTTTAGTGAGTTGATGGCGGTTTGCAAAACAAACTTGGAGGATATCAGAATAGTCAATGCATTTAATTAAATATTAGGGATGAGGAAGTGCATGACCTGGTCAATGGTCATAACTCTCACCAGCTATGTACAAAGTAAATTGATTTTTATTTGGTAAAGACTTGTTAGAGTTTTAAACTGTATTGTTCATAGCATCTAAATTCTCTAATGTTATAATTTGGTTGTGCTCGGTTGATTGCAATTACTTACTATTAGATATTAATTTGAAAATTGGGACAAATTGTAAGGATCTTATATTGGGATTTCATGCTCACCAAGTTTGTATTTAAGTCTTGGAACTCTCTTACCTATCAAGCTGATCTTTTGGGTTGGACTTTTTCTTTGAGCTTGAGTTCTAATATTGGTGTTTTTGTTGAGAATTGAACTACAAAAAGGGTTATCATCAAGTCAATATCGATAGAGTGATAACTATCGTGGATGTCGACTTGTGAGATCTCACACTCACTAGATGTGATACTTAAGCTTAAGGACTCTCCTTGGGCTCGAGTTCTAAGTTCTAACCAATGTTTTAAAACCCAATTCGGGGTGAAACCCGGTAAAGTTGCTGGGTCCCGGGTTGACCGGTGGTCTTCAGCAAATACACCCTTAAAAATTATGTTAAGTCTCTATATGTTTGAAATTTAGCAAACACACCCCAAATACAAATCGACCGTTGACACCTCAAATGCAATCCCAATTGTCCCTTGAGCCCATTTCCCTTAAAATATACCCAAGATTTGGCTGAAATAGGTTTGATTTCGGTTTCGGCCAGATCTCACCGCGTCGGCGTCGACATTCCAAGCTAGATCTCATTGACGCTGGCATCAACAACCCTCCCCATCACTCAGAAATTACTCCCCTCTTCCTCCCAACCAAAACCCACCTCACCCCACCCCCATTAGCCTCACCAATCGTCAGCAAAAGCTGATTGTTGCCGTTGCCAGTTTTGTTCGATTTACTCACCGAAAATTAACTCCGTCACCACCATTGCATTCACCGACACTTTCTCTTCAAAAACCCCAACATCTCAGCCGTCAATTGTTCGCCAATCATCCTCCCAAATCCTAAGATTTTGGGTTAATAGGAAAAATATAAACCCAACTCATTGAAGCTTCTGGGTCCTGGTTAAACCGGCCGAGCCGGACCGGGTTTTAAAACATTGGTTCTAAACTTCTAATATAATTTCATTTTATCCTTTATGTTGAAAACTTGAAATTGTTAGACTATTAGCCCAAAAGGAAAGTAGGAAACCCCTTTGGCTTCATAAAGCTGACTTGGATAAGACTCTTTGCCTTTGCCTTTATCTTTTTATGAGAGAAATAAAACATTTAGAAGTGGGATGCCTTCAAAATATTAAATATCTAAGCAAGTAAATAGAAAAATAAAAATGAGAGATACTATTATGTATTATGATGGCAAAAAGATATCGTTTCAAAAAGTACTGTCAAACTTGTACTGTAAATTTCTTATTTTCGTTTTATGAAAACAGTTCTGAAACCATATTTTAAGGTTTTGAATGATTGAAGTGTTTGTAGCTATAAGCCTATAACCAAAACCACCCTTACAAACTGATAAACTAATTGCTAGAAATAATAAGAATCATCAGAAGACCAAAATAAGTTAAACTCTATTATATTTACAAAGAAGCCCATTTTACACCTTATAAACCGATACACCAAAGTTATCTCATCAAAAATCTAACTGCTTAACATGTTCTGTGAACTTCAAGGTTAACTTCAGTGGACTCAGGCAGTCAGGCATATTGCAACAGTTGGTGCAGTTTTGAACCATCAGAGCTTTTCACTTGCTAAGGCAAATGATGCGGCCATTGCCTTTAAATATTTGCATTCCAACATAAGCAATCTCAACTTCAACTCGTATCATGTGGGCAGTAAAGAACTAAAAAGCACGACATATATATCCAATTTGATAAGTTGTACAAAAGAGAAGGTCTTGTTTGGCATGGCCATCAGCCCTCTACATTAGAAAGCAGGGCTTTCTTTGGTAGTCTCAGCTGAAGAATAGGGAAACTGAATGTGAGATTTACGAGAGCAGACAGCACAAAGCCTTACGATCAAAAGCTCAAAGCATTTCTAAGCTCACCTTTGTTTTTGTGGTCCTCCAGCCTCCCGAGTTCTGTGATGGGGAATATGAAAATTTTTCAATGCAATTTGAAGCAGCAACTTTATCTACACCCATACCCTTAACTGGCATTGAATCCTACAAGCATACTAGATTTGTTACAAGGAGTACAGCGACGACAATTAATCCAAAATAATAATCTTTTTGAATCGTATGGAGTAGTTTATGCATATCATCATTCACTAGTCAGTATTCAAAGACGTTACAATTGTATAAGATAGCAATACAAAAAACTTTCAAAATTGAAAGTCATAAGTAACTTCATTTCCTCTTCTTTTGCCATGATATCCTGTTTTCCATTATTCCTCGGTCAATAAATATTGCTTTTCTTGGCATTTTTATCAAAATTCAAAAGCCACTTCGCATTAGAGAATTGAAAGATTTAAGAATAATGGGGAAAAAAAATTAAAAGACACATAACAGACTTGCCTTGGCTTCTGACGGATTGTATTTTTCTGCTTCAGGATTCCTAATTTCCAAACGTTCCAAGTAAAGCAATATCTGCAAATCAAACAAAGATTAGAAAAAGAAGCCACAAGATGAAAATTTCCAGAGGTGCACCTTTTCTAGGAGACGCATATGTTACAAATAGTTTGAAGCACAATAGCAGGAGACTTTGCAGAATAATAAGACTTGAAATAAACCTACCTTGTTAAGTAACTGAATATTTGAGGCATCACATGCTACAATCTGTACACCAAGACAGTTGTTGGGGATACTGCAGAAGGGACAAAAGATGTTATTGTATACACACCCATCTTCTTCACACCATATACCCTTTCCAGAAGCACCTTCAAGAGTTCTCTTGCAGAGCTGCTGATGAACTGATGAAATGTCAGTAATGATAACAGGTACACTTGGAACATTTGCATCACCAGGTTCCAGTTGTTCTTTCAGAAGAGATACTAAGTGAACTTTAGTAGATGCAGTTAATGAGCACCAAACATACTGATGATTCTCATGAAGCCCTAAAGGGCTTCTGCAAAGTGAACAAGAAATTTGTAATCTCTTGTTCATAATAGGACTAGATGACACGTGTGAAGCAGCACCATTATTTATTGTAACTGGTGCACTAATATTTGACTTCTTGGATTTATGTTCTGCATGAGTGGTCTCAAAGCTAAATTCAATTCTGCGATTTGCAATTAAGTTCAGGTCAACTGATGGAGAACCCAAGAACTTCCTCCTCTTTTGGGTATGTGAGTTAACACTCAAAGAAGAATCTCTTTCCGGCAGGATATTGCTGGTGTTTCCACTAAAATCTTTTTCTGGAGTAACTACCATCTCGGACTGGGTTTTGGAAGGAACTGTGCCAAGATTTGTTAAAGTCCTTGAATGGAATGATAACTGATCTGGAGACTGGGTAGAGGCTTGAAATATGGTTGAACTAGAGTTTCCATCCTTAGAGAAGGATCCAGGACTAGCCACAGTAATATTGTCACCCATACCAGGGGTTTCCTTGACAAGGGATAATCCTGGATCTTCATTGGAGAATGGCATAGTTGAAGCCTCGTAGCACCTGCAAAAGGATGCTTTCTATCTCAAACAAAAGACTTGTAGCAGGTTGAACTGGCAGTAAGATATTTCAAAGAAATTTAAATGCTAGTCAAACATAAAAAGAGCATGAATATTAAAAAAAAAAAAAAAAAAAAAAGAAGAAGTTATAAACCAATACTTGACAGCACAATTGCTAAATTTAATGACCTAGAAATGCATTTTAGGAAACATTCAACAACGGTTCCCATTCTTAGTTCTTACCTTGAATCTTTCTGCAAACTGCATCCTAGATCAATATAATCTCTGCAGTCGTTGATGTCCTTATCTACCTGCAAAGATGCCTGAACTACAATATCGCCTTCAGATTTCAACCCGGGAGAAGGGTCATCATGCTTCATCAGAAAGTATTTTTCCAGTCCATTGTTCAGTTTTTCATTTTTTTTACTCATGAACCCTTTGCTGAATTTAATAGAGTGGTCATTTTTATCATGAATACATTCTTCAGTTTCCAGGTCAGTATGTTGTATGCAGCTACTAGTGTCTTGATTAAGTTTCACTGATGTCTGAACTTCAAAACAGCCTTGAGAATTACACTGGGAAAAGGTGGAATCGCACTTTGTCACTGAATGGACTTTCTGTCCTGAATGATCAGACTCATTAAATTTCTGAGTTGTCTTTCTTGTCAACTCTTTACTTGCAACCAAAGAGGGGACATTGTTCTTGTTATTATCAATATTCTGTGACAAATTTAACATATTCTTGCCAACCCGATCCTGAAAGCATTTTTGGGCAGGGAAACCAATTAAGAATTATCGTTCCTCCACTGAATTAACTAACCATGTAAAGGAAAATAAGCGCAATAAAAGATACATGGTAAAAGAGGGGACCTTGACATCTCTGAAGAAAGATTTTAATCCCTCTAGTGGTTTTTCAAAGTTGTCATACTGTCTAATGGATTTCCTTAGCCACTTTGAAATATATGCTCGTTTCCTTTCCTCCCGAAAACGCTCATCTGCTTGCAAAAAGTTATAAATTGATAAACACTAACTTATGGTTGAAAACTGCAGGAACATACTATTAAAATTAAAAAAATTCAATATTAGTAATAATAATGCTAGAGCCATTCCAGTAAACAGAATTAAATGGATTTTAAAAATTGGAAACAGTTACCTAACAAGATGATGGCTCCATAATCAAACCTATGTCGTATACAGCGTCCTAGAAACAGTAGAAGGCAGTTAAAATTTTTCTTTGCTACAATCATATTATAAAAGTCATCAAATAATGCCAGAACAGAATTAAACATTTGAG